TATTTGGGGAGGACAACTTTTCAGGGCTACGGTGAGAGAGCGGGGGAGGGGGATTGATTTGGAAGCTCTTTTCAAAGAGCCGACACAGACACGATGGGCCGAATGGCCTCCTTTCTGTGCTGTTTAATTCTATGATCTGGGTCTCTTTGTGCATCGCTGCTATTTCTAATCTCCTTACACATACGTAGGTCTATATGAGATGTTCAAATTGCCGTGGCATGTAGTCGTTTACACATATCAACAGTGCTGTTCCATTGTGTTTCCTCCAGAAGAAAAAGCTCCCGAAGAGAAGCTTCCGTCCCCAACTCCAGCCCCTGTCGCTAAAGCAGAGCATCGCCACGGAGCAGGTACCCCAGCTAAAGACAGAGAGGAATCTCGGTCTCTTACAGATCGATGAGCGTTAAAATCAACAGGTCACTTTATAAGCACAATGATACATTTATTATTCAGGATGGCGAAGAAGGATTTAATGCTCTGACGTGACCAGATTGAAAAGCACCAGAGTGAACATATTTTCACATGCACTTACACACACGTTTTGTACAATTTACACAAGTGCTTCTCACGTCGGGAGGATGTCTCAAAGAGCTCAACAATGCTGGCTGGGCACCCGAGCTGGGGTGATTGTGAGGTGATTGACCTGTTTATTGTGAGGTTATTCAGTGGTTTATTGTGAGGTTATTGACTGGTTTATTGTCACGCAGAATCCAAGAGGAAGTTGCCAGGGTCTCGTCATTGCCCCAAAAAGAAAGACCCCAAACTAAAGAAAGCAGAACGAAGCCCGTGCAACTGATGAGACGTCTCAAACCACAAATTCCAGCCACCGGCATCTGCAAACAGCCAGCGAACCGCCACAAGCAATAAATGGCTCTGCTGTAGAGTAATATGTGTCTCTGTAGTCAAGGGTATTCCTAGCTCTGAATATTTTGCACCTAGACAGTCGCTCACTAAATTAATCTTCTATAAACTGGTGAATGGATGTAATACTGTGCCACACAATGAAGCCCCCAATGTTGCGCAGATTGCAGTATTAAGTACTGTGTTATACCGCTGAGTATCAGTACATTAATGCAGCTCACACGATCTACACCGCACCTCTATGGTATTCATTCCTTACCCGTTACTCCGAGTTACTGGAGCACAAAGTAACTGTTGTTGAATGTCAATAACCGTTTCTGCAAAATTTTGGCACAATCTGTTACTCCACCTACACATAAACTCTGTGTAACTGTACCTACACATTTCTTTGTGTTACTCATCTGCACTCGGTAACACCACACCTGCAAGAGGAATGTGGTAAAGGAGGTGGATAAATGTCTATCAAAAGCAGGGCGGGCAGGGCGAAAAATTAGACAAGTTTCCTTACTCCGCACACCTCTGTTTGCCTTGCAGGAAGTAGGAACCCAGTTATTAGTTGATTGGGGGGGAACGCCTTTTTGGGGGTAATAATCCCTTAAAAAAATAATTTGGTCACTCAATCCACGACTGCTTGTGGGACGCTGCTGCCGCATTTCACCCACAAAATATACAGTCAGTTCACGGTATATTCTGCGAAGCGCTTTGAGATGTCTCGATGATGTGATAAGGAGCTATATCAAATGCAAGGATTATTATTTTATTTATTACATTACCAGGAATAGTGGTAGTAGCCAATGTAAGAGAAAGGGGAGAGGGCAGAATTTTTTTTCACAGAATGTTGTTAAAACTCCAACTAGCTACTGAAGTGGAGACCATAAGAGGGAATTATATAAATACCTAAGGAAAAATAATACTTAAGGGACAAGAGCCAAGGATTAGGATTGCAGTAGATAATTCCTGTGAGGGAGCTCGCACCGGCAGAGACACAATAGGCCGAATGGTTCCCTGTATTGTAAGCTTGTTATGGTTCGAAGCAGTCGGGATGAACTAACCGTTGAAATCAGTTATAGGCTCCAAGGTCAAGGGGAGAGTGGAGAATTTATTCACAAATGAAGGAAGCATGTGAGAGGTTTATAGAGGTAACTTTGACTTGACACAGAGCAGCAACGAATATGTGGAATGAATTGTGTTTCCCCTTAACCACTGAGTGTGTTATTTGCTATTAAAACGCCACCAGATTTGTCAGGCTAACATGTGTACGGGTGTTTATATATATATATATAGATAAGATGTGTGTGCATCATGTATATACTGTATCTATTTGAATGTGTGAACATGTGTATGTGTCTGAAACATTAGTTCTATAAATGCAAGTTGTTGTTGTTGTACGCGCGCGTGCGTGTGACTATGCTGAGCGTGTGTATAGGTGTGTAAGTACATTAGTGCACATCAGAGCCCTGTAATGCCTCATGCCTTAAAATTTAAGAACATACAGAATTTGAGATTTTTTTAAAAATTCAGCTTTAACCTGGACGCCGGTTTACCACAGTCCTTTTGAAGAACTCCTAACACTGTACTGCGGGCACAAGGTTAGGGGGACGGTACGGACTTGTGTAAAATTCCACGGATCCGTCGTCTCTCAATTGAAGTTGTCAGTTTGTCGCTGTCTTCTCCTTCCACCAGCGGCGGTCGGCCCTTCAGCCGTTCTGCCCCCACCCCTTTGAAACTCCATCCCCCTTCGCCTCGCTCCCTCCATTGCCTCTTTCAAGACCCATCTCAACACCCTCCTCTTCGACCGCGCCTTCGCCTCCCCCTCCACCTCTCCTGATCCCAACCCCCAGCTCGGGTCCAAATCCCTGACTGTCCAGCACCTTGGGATGCCCTCCCGACGTGAAAGGCACTGTGTAAGTGTAATTTGTTGTTGTTGTGGCCTTTTCTTCCCTGTTGCCAAATCAGTTTCAAAACAGCTGGCATATCAAATTCCCCTTAAAATGCTCCAAAATTTCCTAAAGTGCCTCTGGAAACTGCACGTAAGTATATCTCCTGAACTCCCCTTTCCATGAATATAATTACAGGACTGCCGTTAAAAAAAAAAATTGCAGGAGAGGCAATGACCCAAATGACCTAAATGTGACTTTCTCTCCACCCTTTCGATAAACTACATACTGTAAAATATTCTGGAACATTTACCAACTGGTGTCGGCCTGTTGTTTGCGTCACTCTGACCTCTGGGTCTGAAGGTTGTCGCTCCGAGCCATATCAGGAACTTTTGAGTTCACCGTCTAGGTTGGTGCTCCGGCGCAGTGCTCGGCTTCGCTGCAGCCAGTTTGCACGCCCAGCGAAGTTCCACAAACAACAATGTACCCTCTGGCTTCACTGGCTGCGATGTGGTTTGTGTTTTACTTGGGGGATTGGGAGCCGGCGAAGCCAGAGAGTATGGGGGTGATCGGCTCACAGAGCAACGGACCAGAATTGAGGCGTCAGCCTGGCTCAGTGGGTAGCACTCTCATCTGTGAATCAGAATGATGTGGGTTAATGTTCAACGTCAGTACTTTGAACTCTCAGTCCAGCGTGACACTCCAATGCAGTGTGGAGGATGCTGCATTATCAGAGGTATCGTCCTTCAGGTGAGATCCCGTAGCTCAGGGGTTAGAGCACTCGCTTTGCCAGCGAGAGACCCGAGTCCAATTCCAGACAGGACGAAACCTCGGGCAAGTTTCCTTACTCCACACACGCGCCTAATAATAATCCCTCCAAAAAAAATAATAATAAATGAGTCATTTTCAATCCACGGCTGTTTGCGGGACGCTGCGCTGCTGCGCGCAATTGGCCGCCGCGTTGCGCCCGCAAGTATACAGTCAATTCACTTCACAGTAAATTCGGTGAGAAGCGCTTCGAGATGTCCTCCCGACGGGAACGGCACCACATCAATATAACTCCGTGCTGTACTGTACTGTACTGTACGTCAAATGCTATAAGGTTACGTTTATCAAGGGAGAAGGTATCGGCCGGAAAAGACTGCATCGAGGCAGCAGGTGGGCAACCAAGCCTGCAGCGTACCGGTAAGAGCACTCACCTCGCGAGCGAGGGGACCCGGGTTCGATTCCCGGGGCAGAGCGAAACCTTGGGTGCGTTTCCGGACTCCGCACGCTTCGGTTTTGTCCGCCAGCCGGCAGGAACCTGGGTGTTAAGCTGATTGTCTAATCGCCTTCCGAAGAAAACAACCCCTCCGAAGAAAAGAAAATAAAAAGAAATAACGCCGTCGCTCAACCCACGACCGTTTGTGGGGGGGGGGGACGGGACGGGGTGGAGGGGGCACCGCCGTGCAAATTGGCTGCCCCGCCCCGCCCGCCCACCCGCCGTGTCGCGCCCCGCCCCGCCCCGGAAAATAACGCAGCCAATTCGCCCTGAAGCAAGCGCTCGGCCAGGTCCCGACCGGGCGATCAGGCGCCGCCAAAAAAAAAAAAAAAAACGCAAGGACCGGCAACGATTCATCGGGAAAGCCGCCGCGAACGCCGTCCGGCCCCGGAGCGCCGCCGCCGCCGCCGCCGGGGTGGGGGGGTGGGGTGGGGGTCCCGACGCGGCCGTCTGCTTCGCTTTGCCTGAGGTTGCGGGGAGGGTCGGCGCGGGGGGTGGGGGGGTCGGTGTGTGGGGTGTGGTGGTGGTGTGGGGGAGTTAACCCGCAATGCATGACATTGCATTGTTCAGCAATGCAGCATTACGTGAGTGCACTGCACAGACTGGACTGCACTGGATCTCAGCCCAGATTGGAGAGAGATGGGGAGGGGGGTGGGGAGGGGGTGGGGGGGGGACACACACACAGACCCCCCCTCCACAGTGCAGGCAAAGCCCCTGGAAGCACAAGTGCATTGGTTCGCCACCAGCGGCCCCGCGGCGATTGGACGAGCCACCTCAGGCTACAATCGAATCGAACCAATGGGAGGAGCGCCAGACCCGACCACGTGGGCGGGGGGGGTGGGATCGACGGCCAACGCGGACCAATGGCGGAGCGGACGCCGCGCCCTCCCCGCCCCCCCCACCCGACGGCTCGGATTGACGGCCTTCCCGGCCAATAGAAACGGAGACGGGTCGTCACGCCCCCCCCCCACCGGAGGCGGGGCTGGCCCCGGTGACGCGGGGCTATATAAGGCGGCGCCGCGGCGGTTGGTGCTGCAGTTTGGACGGACTGGTTCCAGAGGAGGAGGACCTTTTTAAAAAGAAAAAAAAAAGAAGAAAACCCACGAAAGAGCGCCGCCATCATCATCAATAATAATAATAATCATCATGAGGGAAATCGTGCATCTGCAGGCCGGCCAGTGCGGCAACCAGATCGGAGCCAAGGTCTGTGCCCGTCGGGGTGGGGGGCGGGGAAAAGAACAGTGGGGGTGAGGGGGAGAGAGAGAGAGGGAGGAGGAGGAGAGAGAGAGAGAGGGCTGAGGGGGTGAACGGAGAGACAGAGAGAGACGGCGGCGAAGAAGAAGAAGAAGAGAGAGAGAGAAAAAATATACTATAGGGCGGGCGGGCGGGTGGGGTGGGGTTGGCGCCTCCGGGGCCTGGTTTTGCGCGCGCCCGCTCGGGCGGGTCGAGTCAGGTCGGTCGGGCATCGGGGGTTCCTCCCCCCCGCCTCAGTCGCCCTCTGCGGTGGGGAAATGGGGTGGGGCCGGCGCGGGTGAAGGAGACTCGGGTCCCGGGCGGGGAAGGGGAAGGGAGGAGGTGGGTGGGTGGGTGGTGGTGGGGGGACACAAGATGGAGGAGGAAAGAAGAGGTTGACACTCGACAATGAGGGGAGAGGAGAGAGGAGGGGGGGGGGGGGGCGGCTGGTGGGGCGGTGGCCGCCGCCCCGCGCCTTTCTGCGCAGAGGCCGCGCGCGCGCGCGCGCGGGCGGGCGGTTGGAGCGCGCGCGCTGGGGCGAGGCTGAGGGGAGGGGGGGAAACGCATGAGGTGACTTCATCCGCTTTTTTTTTCTCTCTCTCTCTCTCTCTCTCCTCCCACCATCCGCCGCCACCACCACCACCACCAGCTGCTGCTGCTGCTCCCTTGTTCTCATTCCCTTTCCTGGCTCTCTCCCTCTCTCTCCCTCCTCCTCCCCATTCCCGCAGGAGTGAGTCAGCTTCTGCCGCCCGGTTAGCGCGAGGCTGACGCCGCCGTCCCTGGTTGACCCGGACCCACTGTTTTTTTCCCCCCCCCACGAGATCCTGCCGCAGAGTGGGAATCTCGATGCCGCATCCCCCTCCCCACCCCTCCTCCCTCCTCCTTTTTTTTTTCCACTTCGCCGCCTCGCGCTCCAGGCTTTTGTAAGGAATTGAATCGCTCCCAGTGGGCTGGGTTTGGGCTATTGTTCCGCCATCGCTCCCTCCCACCTGCTTTCCCGGGACGTGAATGAGGCTCTTTGTCTCTTCTTCTAACGCTGCGTGTTACCTCCTCGCTTTATGGTTTTCGCTGAGGGCTGTGATAAGCTTTGCAGCTATTGTCCTCTGTGACCTTGGGATTGGGAGGGGAATGGGGGGGGGGGCAATCCAGGCATGCTCCTGACTGCTTAGATTTCATGCCGTAAAGTACCCGCGTAGTAAGGGGAGGGCGGTTTGGGTTTTGATTGTTCCCAGGGTGAGCCGCGAGCCTACCCCTTGGCTGTGGGTGTGTCCCACGTAGACGGGCTCCGCGAGGCACAAAGGGCTATGACAGAGTGTGATGCGGTCATCTGGTTGGGCAGGACAAGGTCTGGTGTGTGGGGAGAGGGTTAGTGGGGGGAAAACGGTGGTTTGATGTCTGGGTGTTCCATTAAGGTGTGGTCGTCCTTGTCTTTCTTCCCCCCCCCCAGCCCCCCTCTGCGGTGATTTCAGGCACTTGTGTCTGGCAAAAGGATGACGTGGCAATTACTTAAGTGGTGATGCTGGAACAGGCAGATGGGTACCACTGATTTTCCCCGTGGGAGGAGGTTACATGTCTCCCAAACCGATGACGCTTAGGAAAGCTGAATTAATCACGATGTGGGTTGAATGTTAAATCTATTTTAAAATGGAATTGGAATACAGAATGTTTTTCAACTGCAGACACCAACTACCCACTTTAAACAATTTTCCTCACAATTAATAGGCTAGCAGGGCTGTAATTTGACAGATTCTCCCCTTTAGTCAAGTGGGAGGTTTTCAGTTTACACCACTAACTTGATACTGTGCTTTCAAAGAGGAGTCCTTCAGAACCCCTATTATTCACGTGCATTAGTCCCCTTTGACTGCCTTTTCAGCTATCTTACCGTCCCACCCCCATCATGGTTGCCAAGTCAGTATTAAGTGACTTGAGACATCCTCCTATGTGTAAGGTGCTATATAAATTTTGTTTTGTATTGTCCTTTTTCTCTCCAGTTCTGGGAAGTTATCAGTGATGAGCACGGTATTGATCCAACTGGAACCTATCATGGAGATGGTGACCTTCAGCTTGAGAGGATTAATGTGTATTACAATGAGGCTTCAGGTACAAATTAACATTTTTTTAACATTCCCAATTGAATAGCCTCAATTGTACAACGTGTAATTAACATGTAATTTTCTCATCTCTTTTCTGAACAGGTGGCAAGTATGTTCCCCGTGCTATACTTGTAGATTTGGAGCCTGGTACTATGGACTCTGTTCGCTCTGGACCTTTTGGGCAGATCTTCAGGCCTGATAATTTTGTGTTTGGTACGTAAAGTTCTTATTACCCAGAACTAACTGCTTGTGTGAGATGTTAACTTTGCCCTAGTTTGCAGAAATCAAAGCAAGAACCTATTGTGGGAAGTTGAGTTAATTTGGGGTTGTGCAGGGGTTATTCTGGGGATCAACAAAGTGCATTTGTATAGATCCTTCTGTGCTGGATAGCATCTAGGAGTGCTGCACAGTGGCTGGCTTCAACACTGAGCAAGGTAGGACGCGCTTTGGTTCTAGCAAGTCCCAAACCTATTTCCCCTCCTGTCATTAGAATAAAACTCCTGTAGAATATTGTTGGTGATTCTGTAATCCTTTACATTGATTTGAAGGTGCATTTCCACATGTTAACTTAACCCTAAGTTTACACATAGTTAGTTGTCTCAAGTTTGTGGCCTTTAAGCATTTTTTTGTGTGTTTTTGACTTCCTTTGTTGCAGGTCAGAGTGGTGCTGGTAACAACTGGGCCAAAGGACATTACACTGAAGGTGCTGAGCTGGTTGACTCTGTCCTGGATGTGGTGAGGAAAGAGGCAGAGGGCTGTGATTGTCTCCAGGGCTTCCAGCTCACCCACTCACTGGGTGGTGGTACTGGCTCTGGTATGGGCACACTTCTCATTAGCAAGATCCGTGAAGAATATCCTGACAGAATCATGAACACTTTTAGCGTTGTACCTTCACCAAAGGTGTCGGACACTGTAGTAGAGCCTTATAATGCCACATTGTCTGTCCATCAGCTTGTAGAGAACACTGATGAGACATTCTGTATTGATAATGAGGCCCTGTATGACATTTGTTTCCGTACACTCAAGTTGACAACTCCCACTTATGGTGATCTGAACCACCTTGTGTCAGCCACCATGAGTGGTGTGACAACCTGCCTGCGTTTCCCTGGACAGCTCAACGCTGACCTGCGTAAACTGGCTGTGAACATGGTGCCCTTCCCCCGTCTGCACTTCTTCATGCCAGGTTTTGCTCCTCTAACCAGCCGTGGAAGCCAGCAGTACCGTGCCCTCTCAGTACCTGAGCTCACTCAACAAATGTTTGATGCTAAGAACATGATGGCTGCCTGTGACCCACGACACGGGCGCTATCTTACTGTTGCTGCTATTTTCCGAGGCCGTATGTCCATGAAAGAGGTGGATGAGCAGATGCTAAATGTGCAGAACAAGAACAGCAGTTACTTTGTGGAATGGATCCCCAACAATGTCAAGACAGCTGTCTGTGACATCCCACCCAGAGGCCTCAAGATGTCTGCCACCTTCATTGGCAACAGCACAGCCATCCAGGAGCTGTTTAAACGCATCTCTGAGCAGTTCACGGCCATGTTCCGGAGGAAAGCTTTCCTGCATTGGTACACTGGTGAGGGCATGGATGAGATGGAATTCACTGAGGCTGAGAGCAACATGAATGATCTGGTGTCAGAGTACCAGCAATACCAGGATGCCACAGCTGAGGAAGAGGGTGAATTTGAAGAGGATGAAGACATTGCTTAAGTATTTTTAGAGCTAAATATTCCTTTTTGTTTCAGTCAAGACCTACCTATCTGATCATGTCCTTTCACAAAGACTTGTCTGATCATGTTTGTTCCTCCTGCTTTTGTATTGTTGTATTCTGTGCTCCCTTCCTGAATGCTGCATTCCCTAGAGAGATCTAGATTCTTCCCTTACACAAATCACGCGGCAAAATTGTCTGGAGATTCCCGGAATCATTTCCTTCTGTGAGAACCGAGGTTTGGCTAGCACTAACCTTTTTGATTTATTTTGGAATCTGCCGGTTGTGCTACATTTTGGTTGGAACATTCCACAAGTAATGTCAAAGCAGCTGCCTTCATTGAAAGTCTCAATCATGTTTAGTGTGGAAAATTGCTTTTTAAATCTTTCTTATCCCCCCCCTCTCCCCAATGTAAATGTATTGGGGTGGAAGGCAGGAGCTGTACAGACGTACAGGTCTTTCCTTCCTGTTCTCTCAAAATGATCCTGGAACTCTGGACAAATATTGATCATGGTCAAACTGAAAGCCTGTGAAGTGTTAAGGTTTTTTTTGTTCAGTGTATTTCTGTAACTATGGGTCTGGAACACTTTGTTGGTCCTGCAAATGCTGCTACTCTGGCTGTGTATATTTGCCTAATGGTACAATTGTGCAAGAAAGTAAAACAGTGGTTTGCAGGTTACGACCAGAACTCAATTTCTCAATGTATTTGCATTTTACCAAGATCTTGAACTTTATGAGAGATCACAAGTTGAGGCATTGCATGTGATGGTCAATATTCTGGAACCTTTGTACGGAGAAACAGACTCCTGTAAACCTTTGTATGGAGGGAGGTTGACTCCTGTGAAACTTGGATGGCCATTAAATCAGTTCAGCACGATTTACATTTTGAAAATTCTTCATTTTTCTCTACCACACAATCTTCATACAGCCCAGTTACATAATGGAAGAACAATAAGTGACACAACATTCACGTAACATGAGTGATTATTATGTTTTTCTTTAAATCTAGGAAGATGAGGCCAGGCATTGCTCTGATTGCAAGTACGTTATGCCGGCCTCAGAGCAAAATGTCCCTTAAATGATTTAACAAGCTGTCACTTGGCATTCTTTTAACACTTTCTCTCCCCCTGGCCCCCTCAAAAATAAATGAAGGAAAATTTCCCTATCTATCTCCAGTCCCACATCTGTCCAACCTTGGAGGTGCTGTGGCCTTTCCATGTATGGCATCTGTTCAGATTAAAACCTGCCCTTACAGAGCATAGTTACCAACTGCAGCCAAATCAACATGTCACACGACTAAAGGTCTTTAAACTTACTGATTTTCACCATGAATGATTTCCACTGAAGAACCTTGGATTGAAGGAGTTTCTGGAAGGTGTGTGTACTGCGACGGAGCTAATTGACACAGATTGCCTTTGACCCATGTGCTGGTGGCCTCGCGCAGCGGCACTTTATTACATTAACATCCTTGAAGACATCCTTAGTACCCAAGTGCATCATCACATTAGCTGCCCCCATCTGTACAACACTAGAAACCCTCACCCGTGCCTTCCTTCATCACTTCCTGGCTGGACTATTCCAAAGCCCTCCGTGCTGGTGTCCCTACCTCACAAAATCCAATGAATCCAAGACTTACCCCGATGCTCCCCCACAAAACTCCTCTCATCAAACCAGTCTTTGCCAGGCTCCACCGGCTCTCGATTGCTGAATGGATCAATTTCAAGATATTCTCACTCATTTTCAAATCATTTCATGCCCTCGCACGTCCCTACCTATCCAATCTGCTTATCTTCTCTCTTCCCCCCCTCCCCCCCCACCCCACCCAGCATTATTGCTCTAGACTGCTTAAATTGGGGAGACAGGTAATGCATTTTGTGTGTCATCTGTTCAGAATTCTACAGAGGATCTGGGAGGTAAGGTGTGGGGGACTTGATATTCATAAAATTGTAATTATTAGTGGGTGCACAGATGGATACAGCAATGGCATAGAATGCAAGAAAAGGACATATCAAAGAAGTAATTAAGCACACCTTATACCTTCAAGTGAAATTTCCATCGCCTGAATCACCGGAGGAGCAATATGTGTTAATTTATCATTATGTGTGCATTATTGTCAAAAGCAGAGACATCCACCCATAAGTCTAACATTAGGCACCAGTGACAAGCTTTAGTCACCCAGGAAGAGGTGGGGGAAAAGGACTAGCCTATATATCGGGAGCCATTTTATTGACCAAATTTCTTGTAAAGATCTGCAACAATGTGTTTTCTTTCTGAAATGGCTGCCTTTACGTTACCTGTGGGAAGAATAATGCAAGGTAAGGTGTCATCTAAAATCTAAGTGTATAAAAAACTACAGTGCATATATGAACCCATAAATTAAATTAGTCATGCATTACTTAAATATTACAAGTAATTAAATTACAATCACAAGTCGTTATGTTTGCTGGAGAAGTCCATAATTGTTTTCTGGTGGGCGCTCGCTTGCTGTTTTCCGACTGTTTCTCGGAAAGCTTGGCCTCTGAAAAGGGTGTCGGTGCAAAGGCACGGGGTGTCAAAGGGCAAACAAAGAGTGGCCAAGAGTTGCATTAAACAGGTGGTTTATTATTGCAAAATCTGTCCAGGGTGACTATTAACTGAGCCGACACTGGGGCAGACAGGCAGGGGGACATGGAGCAGGCCAAATGGAGGGAGCGGACCGGTTGGTATGCGGTTAAGAGGTCACAGAGGTTGTATCCAAGTCAACTCCTTGCAAGCCAAAGCCCTAAAGGGTAGGGTTGGCCTAAGCTGGACAAGCATTGGAAAGGTGAACTGAAAAGCGGTACTGCCAATGCACTCTGAAGTCCCCGAGCCTTGGCTCTCACCAACCTCCGCCCAATCTCTCTTGGAGATGAGATGAAGGAAGAATGCATCATTCCAGAGAGGGTGCCAGACAGAGACAGGTAGTGATTTCAATGCATAGGTCAGTAAGGAAGCATGCAATTCTTTTTCTTTAAAATTGCTCAAATCATTTTGACCTCTGGGGAGAGAGAGAGAGAGAGAGAGATAAATTGCTTGTGAAGAGGCAGTCAAGAGTAGTTTCCTGAAAATGATGAAAAGCAGTTGGACAGTGTAACGTCATCGTTTGCCCCATAACATTGTGACAGGTTATTAACAGGATGGGGTTTAAGGTAAGGGAGTAACGGTGTGGTTACAACCCCCCTCTCCCCCCCAAAAGAAAAAAACCTCCATCATATCCTAGCAAAGGGAAGGCTCCTGGGCAGCTGGAGGGAGTCAATATGAGGGAGATCGTCCATATTCAGGCTGGGCAGTGTGGCAATCAGATTGGATCCAAGGTGGGTATTGTGCAGTGAAGCAGTGAGTATTTACCTGAGGGTCTGTGCTAACACACACCCACACACACACACATATATAGGTGCAGCCAGGGAGCCCTTGCAAATGCAAGGATTATTATTATTATTATTATTATTGCAAGTGCACGCAGGAGATGGTTGGGACGAGTGTTTAGTGTCGCATTCATGTGTTTGCGAATCGTCTGAGTCGCAAGTTACTGCTGATTGCGAGCTATTCCCAGCAAACTCAGCTTATCAGGGAGTCCAAGCAACGTTGCAAATGTGCAAGTAAGCAAATGTGGGAACGTTACTGGATGTGAAACACCGAATGGAGCCTGCACAGCGTTTTTCTTTTTGTTGCATTTAGTGCAGCACTTAAATTGAATTGCATTTCCCCTCTCGCGAAAAAAAAAGGCAGCCTTCTAATCCCAGAGTCAAAGTGTCCCCAGTGAAATCCCAGCATTGCTGTCAGACAAGTGGGCAGAATGCACATTGGAGGATATTAGAAATATTATATGCAGCCCAGAGTGTAAAAGATAGACCATAAAAATCTACAAACGATCATAAAAAGCAAGTGATCACAGAGAAGAAGTGTTTGGCTGTTTTCCAGAATGCAGTTTCAAGAGATTACAGATTACAGTCTCTCTCATACAATATAATACAATACAATTTACAACACAATGCTGTGCAGACTTTGTTCTCTCCTAATAGTTACAGGGTGACCCAAAAAGTCGTGACGCCATTCCAACGTCCAATAAGTCTGAAGGAATTTATGATATGTTGGTGCTTTTTAGATAACAGGATAGATATCATGACTTGTGGCAGTGTGAGAGAGTCAATATGAGGGAGATGGCCCAATTACAGGCCGGGCAGTGTGGCAATCAGATTGGATCCAAGGTGTGGAACCAATCTGTTGGCCACCCTGTACAGTACAGAGTGTACCTTGTTTGCCTTTCACTGTGAACAAGACCTTCCTGAGGCCTCCTGACCTGGGTTGGATAGTCTTTTAGTTTCAAGTAAATTGATGGGTGAAAACTCATACGATTCCCCTTCCCCTGACCCCCTTTCATGGGTTCATCTCGTCGCCTAGGCTTTATGCATTGGGAGATCCTCTTAGTGCAGTATGACCAAAAGGTAAGACTCCATGTGATGCTCCACCGGAATAAATGTGCGTTCTTATCGGAGGGTTGAATATAACTATCTGAGTGTGCTGTGGTGCATTGGAGCTCAGTAACATGGCCAAAGAAACAGCTTTTCCCATTCCCAAAGTGTGTCATTTCTTTTCTACCCGAAGAGGCTGCATTGCATGTTAAGGAATTTACATGTTGTAAATCTAAGTTACACCAAGCTGAGGAGGATCTTAAATCAGGGAAGTCTCCAAGTCTATAATGCTCCAGAGGGATGCTACTTACAGGAGCTCAGACCGATGCTCAAAGATGCATTTGATAAAATAAAGAAAACACTTGTAAGAGATGTTAGAGAAATGAAGACAAGGGGAGTCATATCAACTGCTAACTAACAGCAGATATAAATATTTACACTCTGGAAACGTCGAACAGGTAAGGCATTGGATTGCTTTTGGGTTAGTTACATTAGAATTGTTTTTCTTGTCCTCAAATGAAATTGAGTTGAAAGCACTAACGACATCAGTGTATATCCACTGAAAGTATCTAAGTGTGAGCTCACAGGCTGCATACACCTTATGCTCTTTCCAGTTCTGTCGAAGATAAGTGAACAGTCTCTTGGGGGGAGGGGGGGGGGCGAAATTCTGGTGCATGTTACATGTATTTAACCGTGGCAATGTGCGATTGATTAAAATGGGGAAATCATACTAGCGGCCAAGTACACCAACTGTGCTACGGTCAACACTGGAACTTTAGTATAGTCAGTTCACATTAATGTTTCTGTTCCTCTCTGTTTGTTTAGTTCTGGGAAGTTATCAGCGATGAGCATGGAGTTGATCCAACTGGAACTTACCATGGAGACAGTGATCTGCAACTAGAAAGGATAAATGTATATTATAATGAAGCCACAGGTATTAATAATAATAAATAATAATCCTGCATTTGATATAGCGCCTTATCACATCTTCAAGACGTCTCAAAGCGCTTCACAAAATATACTGTAAAGGGAATTGACTATATTTTGTGGGCGAAACGCGGCAGCCAACCGGTACAGCAGCGTCCCCACAAACAGTCAGTATTAATCAAACATTTTAATCACATCTTGGATTTAGATGCACAACTGTAGCTTCTTGCTATGCCTTAATTTTACATCTCTCCTGAACAGGTGGCAAGTTTGTACCCCGTGCTATTATGGTAGATTTGGAGCCTGGCACTATGGACTCTGTTCGCTCTGGACCCTTTGGACAGATCTTCAGGCCTGATAACTTTGTGTTCGGTGGGTAAAATCTGTGTAAGTGGTTAGCATCGCAGAATTTTTTTTTGCTTTTGGATGGATAAGAAAAGGGTCAGAAAATCCAACAAATAATAATAATAACAATGATAATCCTTGCATTCAATGAAGTGCTTAATCATATTTTCGAGACGTCTCAAAGCGCTTCACAGAACCACTGTAAAGTGAATTGACTGTATTGTGTGGGCGAATAGTCTGAATTATAATAATAACAATAATAAATAATCTGAACAATCCTTACATTTGTACAGTGACTTCTGGGGCGAGAGTGCACACTCCATTCCAGACACGGATATGTCCATGTGTATGTGACATACGTGGAACTCTGAGTCTAGTTTGAATACTATAAAGCATGGCAATGGCTTTCTGCAAGTGTCAGACACCTGGTTGATCAAAAAGAATCAAATTCAAAAACTGTACCAACACAACACCTGATGTACAGTATCACAAAACGTTTCCATCCCTAAAATATTTGACATTTATACAACATGAGGATATACGGTCCGTTAGTCAGAATATTTTGTTTTCCTTTGTTGCAGGTCAGAGTGGTGCTGCTAATAACTGGGCCAAAGGACATTACACTGAAGGTGCTGAACTGGTTGATTCTGTGATGGATGTGCTGAGGAAGGAGGCTGAGAGCTGTGATTGTCTCCAGGGCTTCCAGCTCACCCACTCCCTGGGTGGTGGTACAGGTGCCGGTATGGGCACACTTCTTCTTAACAAGATCCGAGAGGAATATCCCGACAGAATCTTAGTGTCTTTCAGTGTTATCCCATCACCCAAAGTGTCAGACACTGTGGTAGAGCCTTATAATGCCACACTGTCTATCCATCAACTTATAGAGAACTCAGATGAGACATTCTGTATTGACAATGAGGCCCTGTTTGACATTTGTTTCCGTACACTCAAACTGACAGCTCCCACTTATGGTGACATGAACCACCTCATCTCGGCCACCATGAGTGGTATCACAACCTGCCTTCGTTTCCCTGGACAGCTCAACGCTGACCTGCGTAAACTGGCTGTGAACATGGTGCCCTTCCCCCGTCTGCACTTTTTTGTCCCAGGTTTTGCTCCTCTAACCAGCCGTGGAAGCCAGCAGTACCGTGCCATCACTGTACCTCAGCTCACCCAACAGATGTTTGATGCTAAGAACATGATGGCTGCCTGTGACCCACGACATGGCCGCTATCTTACTGTTGCTGCCGTTTTCCGAGGCCGTATGTCCATGAAAGAGGTGGATGAGCAGATGCTCAATGTACAGAACAAGAACAGTGCCTACTTTGTGGAATGGATCCCTAACAATGTCAAGACAGCTGTCTGTGACATCCCACCCAGAGGCCTCAGGATGGCTGCCACCTTCATCGGCAACACCACAGCCATCCAGGAGCTGTTTAAGCGCATCGGTGAGCAGTACAGTGCTATGTTCCGCAGGAAGGCTTTTCTGCATTGGTACACTGGTGAGGGCATGGATGAAGCTGAATTCATTGAGGCTGAGGGTAATATGATCGACCTGATATCTGAGTATCAGCATTACCAGGATGCCACAATTGGAGATGAGGTTGCTTATGAGGAGTACAATAATGATGAAGACTGAGCAGGATTCTGTTCAGACCTAAGAATGACTGGATCGTTACACTAAGACATGTCATGGTTTCTCTGTACTTGATCGGTTAGTCACTGTTCATTTGTTTGATACTTCACTGCTGCATTGACTATGATTAAACCTACCAGAAGCATTTGGGAATATTTACTTATAAGGTTGGAATCAATATGGACACTTGTTAAGACTGCTTCCAATCAAAATCACTTGTCTTCTCCCTCAACTGTCAGTATAGTTATTCAGAGGTTATCCAGAAATGTTGTTTTCAACCGGAAAGTGACTGCATTGTGGACCCCTATCTTTCTGGGTATTCCAGTCAAAGCACACTGCTTCATTAAAGTATAGGACAGGCCCTTCACTGGATATGTATCATCGTGAGGGGTGCAGGATTGGCAGGTAATAAGCTTTTTAATCTCCATTCAGCCAAGCAGGAATGTTGAATGGGCACTTGAGAAAACCAATGATCTGAATAATCAATTCAACAGAAAAGCTGGCTTCAACCAGTGAAATGGATGTGACCAGTCTTTGACCCTGAAAACACAGACTTTTTTTTACAGTACAAATGATGAGAGATATCTTAGATTGTGGACAGAGGTAGTTACTATTTATTTTATTCCCGTATAAACAAGTGATTAAACGTATTTGGTGGAGGGGCATGCAAGACAGTGTATTTGGAACTTGGGATGAACAAGAGAACCAAAGGTCAGAAAAGCAATGACCATGATGGTAATGATTAAATAAAGATAAGAGAAAGATGGGCTGGAGAAGGAAAGACTGGACATGAGAGGGAGAGAATGATAGCAGGATTGTCTTGTACCTTGGGTCAGAGAGAGTCTTTTTTCCATTTGGAGATATAGGATTCCTATTAGCATACACTGTGAATATCGCTATGTGTAGCAGCAAGAGGAATGTTTTTGCCCACTCTTTATATCAGGCAAAAAAATCAATTCACCCGAACTGCTTAGACCAATAAATGTGGTCCCAGCCATTAGAGGAATGTTGAGATGGCAGGATTTAAGTTATTTATCTAATTGCTGATCAATACTCAACAGTTACAAGCTTTGTGAAAGGCTGATAAATAATAATAATGCTTGCATTTGATATCGTGCTTTTCACGTCTTCTGGACATCTCAAAGTGCTTCACAGAATATACTGTAAAGTGAATTGAATGTATATTTTGTGGGTGAAATGCGGCAGCCAATTGCGCACAGCAGCGTCCCACAAACAGTCGTGGATGAGTGACCAAATTATCCTTTTTTTTCTTGATATACTTTTTTCTGATATACTTGATGTTCAATTATTGCCTCATCAGAATTATGCTTAATTGTTGGGAATAACCAACATGATGAGCATCAACATCGGGAGAATGTTATGGATTATCTCCAGTGATAGATACGTAGGTATTTCATGTCTCACTATTCCAGAGAAATATAGATATTTTCATCGAATAACTAGGTCACTTGGTCTACTGATACTGCGTCACTACTACCTGTATTACTAAATCACTCTCTTATTAATTCAATTTTCCAGATCCCCAAATAGATTTACTACCCAGTTCTCCTTTCAGTGATTCTATTGGCACAGCCCCCTTGCGGCAATGAATTCCAAACCCAAACAACCGTTCGAGTTGAAGTCATTCCTGCTTCAGAAATTACCGCCCCTTCTCAACCTTTACGGCACATGTTACCATTCGCACTTAGAGGGCTGTGAGCACCGTGAGTGCGCTTCAGTTACGATTTGTTTTGCTCTTAATTGGGCTGCACAGCAGCGCGGAAACAGCTCGTCGCTCCAACTCCCTCGGAAACAGGATTGGGCTGACACTCCACGGGAGCCTCCATCACTCCCTCAACTCCCTTCTACTCCCTTCTCCCCTCAATTGCTGCGCGTAAGCGGCGGAGGCAGCGGTGTGGGGGTGGGGGGGGGGGATTTCTTTGGCCGCTCTTTATTATATCAGGCAGACAGATCAATCAATTCACCTGAAATGTTTCAAGCAGTTTGGCTTAAGTGTTTTTAAGCGTTCTGTTGTGACATTGGGAGTCCTGTAGCTCAGTGGTTAGAGCACTCGCTTTGCAAGCGAGAGACCTGAGTTCAATCCCAGGCAGAGGGCGAAACCTTGGGCAAGTTTCCTTACTCCACCCACACAGCGCCTAACAACAACAACAACAAGACTCCATTTATAAAGCGCCTTTCACGTCAGGAGGACGTCCCAAGGCGCTGCACAGTTGGATCATGACCCGAGCAGGGGGGAAATGGTCAGGGTGAGGGGAGGGATGGGAGGGAGCGAGGAGGGGGAAGAGAGTCGAGAGGGGAGCTGAAGGCACGGTCAAAGAGAAAGGTTTTGAGACCGGCCTTGAAGGAGGAAAGGGAGGAAGCAATAATAACAATAATAATCCCTCCAAAAAAAAAACCCCAAAACAATAATAAATTGGTCGTTTTCAATCCACGACTGCCTGCGGGGGGACGCTGCCGTGCGCGCGCGATGAATTGGCTGCCGCGTTCGCCCACGAGTACGCAAGTCGATTCGCTTGGCGGCGCGTTCCGCGAGGCGCTTCGGGGCGTCCTCCCGACGTGAGAAGCGCTACGTCAAACGCGAGGATTATTATTATGGTTATTATTATTATTATTATGATGATGATGATTGCTATTTGGGAAGCCGGGCGAGGGGGCAGGGAGTTGGGTGACTTTGTGACATGGACGAGGTGGTGGGGGTGGGGGGGAAGCTCTGTTAGCTCAGAGCTCAGGCTATTGTGACACTGGGGCAGCCATGTGCCTGGACAGCGGAAGCGCCCACAGACGCCCAACAATGGTGACGCGGGGGCGGGGCGGGGGGAGGGGCGGTGGTTGCCTGGCAACGGCGACTCAAAACCAATCGCGGAACGCCCCGCTTTGAATCGGACCAATGGGGGCCGCCGGACGCGGCTGATGGGCAGGGGCGCGGCCCAATGGGCGGGTGGGGGCCGAGGCCAGCGATGACGCGTCGGTATATAAGGAGCGTGCGAGCGCCGGCCAGCCGTTTCGAGCCGCTTGGTTCCGTGGGAGAGAGTAGCTTAGCCAGAGCGAGCGGTCAGCATGAGAGAGATCGTGCACCTGCAGGCCGGACAGTGCGGCAACCAGATCGGAGCTAAGGTCTGTAGTGCAGCAGCCGCTTGGAGAGGGAGGCAGTGTGTAAAAAAAAAATGGGGGGGGCGGAGGAGGTCATCCGCAAGGCCCGGGAATCTTCGAAGGACCGGGAAAAGAGCGGCCTGGATGTCATTTTGCGCGAAGCAGGCCCCCAGGGGTGTATGTGTGGGTGTAGCGGTGCGGGCGGGCGGGTGGGGGGGGGTGAGAAGAATGTCCCCCTCCCTCCCCTCGCGCCCTTTTTCCTGTCCTGCCTTGTCATGGCCGTGAGCGGCCAGGACCGGGACGAGAGTAAGGGTGGGGGGGGGGGGGGCCCCGTGTGAGGCAGTGTGAGGCGAGTCGATGGCGAGCGCCCCAACCGTCAACCGCAGCACGCGGTCCCAACGGCCGCGCTGGGCATGCGCAGTGCCGGCCGGGGTTATTGTGGCCGGGAACCATGGCAACGGGCGAAGCCTCCCGTGTGCGCGCGCAGCCGCCTCCCGCGGCGCCGTTTCCCCCCCTGGGGTCAGTCCCCCCCCCCCCCTCGGCCTTAACACGGTGGGGGGGGGCGGCTTCACTGTGCAGGGAGTGAACCGGTCTTGTCCCTCGGTTGTCCTCGCTCGATGGTCCCGATCCACTTGGAGGGGTTAGAGCGGGACAAATACACTCGGGTCATTCGTCTCGAGCCGTCCTTGGTAGTCCGACAAAACCGAGGGAAGGACAAAAAAAAATATATATATATATATGTACGATACAACCTTAGGGCCGAGAGTGAACGCCTTGACCGAGACAGCGGCTCTTCGAACAGACAGGGAATTGCAACACCGCCGATCCAGTCGTCCGGGGAGGCCCCCAGACTGGATGACGGTGGACGCCCCTCTCCGGTCTGAGGTGTCCCGAGTCGGCTCGCCCGCTACGTAACCGGACGGTCCCAGGGGTCTGTCTCAACCGGCAAGAGGGGAAATGACGCCGGTGTCGCAAGTCTTGCTTGATCGTCCCAATAAGCACATCAAGGGAGATTGGGAGAAAACGTGGCAAAGATGGGTTGTTGTGGAAGGCCCTTCCAAAAACTGGTTCACCGGCAGGACTTGGAAGGGCAGACCAGTCACTGCTTGGCTCCCATTAGCCTTGCAAGCCAAAGCCCCAATGGGTAGGGTGGTCCTAGCCGGATAAGCAGTAGGAAAGCACCTAATTAGGTAAACGTGATTTTTCCCTCCAGGGAAAGAGTGTCCATTCCATTCATTCCAATTTCCTGGAATTTCCATGTGTAGGTGGGGTACATGGAACTCTGCTTGGTTTGGGTACTCTTATGCATAGTGATGAGTTTCTGCATATCTCAGACACCAGACTGACCAACAGAGTCCATAAATGGCTGGAGAAAAGGCAAGAAAGTGAGTAGTTCTTTCAGAAAGCCATTGTGGACAGAATGAGCCAAATGGTCTTGTATAAATCCATTCCAAATGAGTGTTGATGTCAGCCCTGATGTTCAATAAAACTCCACAAGCAATACTGAATCACTAATGAGCTGTGTGAAAAATATTTTGACTTTTAATAAAAAGGTTATTTGACTTCAAAGTTAAAAGTTTTGACCAAATCCGTCAACCAAAACCATTGTGCTTTTTTCACAGAGATAATAATGCAATGATGGTTTTTAAAAAAATGTTATAGCAACTTTAAATATTCAAAGTGTAAGCAGTAAAATTCTTAAACTTCAGGGAAATTTAAAAGTTGGTACAATTCAAGCACAAACTCATTGTTCTATAATAAGATCTGATAGACACCGCTTTTTTCCTGCACTTCATTCTATATCAGACCTGGATTCTCACTGCAGACATTTCAATGACCTGACATTTCCCCAGAACAACAACAGCAAATTTATAAAGAGCCTTTCACGTCAGGTGGACGTCCCATGGCTCTGCTAGTAAACTCAAGCTGTCAATGGGTCTTTTTGTGAGGTACAGACTCCAACTTGTAATAGGCAATAGAGAGTAGATGGCAATAGTGTGTGGAAACAGATATCCACTTCACTTTCAGGATTCACTTTCAAAAGGATCCACTGAGTTTTCATAATGTTTTATGGTCAGACCTCTAGAAGGAGCCCTTTCTTGGTAAAAGTCCAAGACATAATTGTCAATGTGTTCAATTATATTTACTATTGTATCTTTCCCTGTCTTTACATCTCCTTACATTTTATAAAACAATAACTGAATAAGGAGAGGAATCAGAATAGTGCCTGCTGATCTGTTTTAGGCACTGACCACCACAGATGAATTTTGCTTGTATTGCTGAGCAAATTTTCAATCTAAAGATGTCTCAACTTTAGGAAAGCTCTTCAGACAATTCAGATATATCCAATGAATATCTCTCAACTAATAGTTTTGTTGCTTCCCTGAAGAAGTTCAATAACTTTATGAAGTATGAGACTGAGTGGTTTATAATTTCCAAGCTATGTCTTGTGTTTTCTTGCATATTACAGTAAATCTGTGAAGCATTTAGATATCCTCCTAAAATGCAAGGTTTATCAATTATACTGTTTGATATTCTTGATCTGGGAGTGCATTCAATTTGTGAAAGGATGAAAGATGGGTGCTTTTAAAAAGTGATAATATAATGGCTATTAAGATGAGCCTGATCCTCCTAATCAGATTTAGTCAATGCCTGCGTCCTTTACATACTTTAAGGTTTTGTTTACCTCTATTAATGTGACTTTTCTTTTTGTTTAGTTCTGGGAAGTTATCAGTGATGAACATGGTATTGATCCCACTGGAACGTATCATGGAGACAGCGATCTTCAGCTGGAGAGAATTAATGTTTATTACAATGAGGCGACAGGTAGCAATTGAGTATGCTGGAGATAGTTTTGGTTTTATAATATAGGTTTCTATCAATTTCTTACACTTACGTTTTTTTAAAAATATATAGGTGGCAAGTATGTGCCTCGTGCAGTTCTCATGGATCTAGAGCCTGGTACCATGGACTCTGTCCGTTCTGGACCCTTTGGGCAGATTTTTCGACCAGATAACTTTGTGTTTGGTAAGTGAAATGTGTAAGTGACTAGCATAGAATGCTTGGTATCTTGTCTGCAGTGTTAGGACTTTAACCTGGAGGGATTATAATTTCAAATACTTGGCTGTTGAGTGAGTGAAGGATTTCTGGGTCTGCAGACATTCAATTGTCAGGTAAAGTAATACAACAATGTAATATTTCCATAGACAAATTTGGGTAGTGTGAGTAAAATCAGAGGGAAAGGACTTGGTAACAAAAAGTCTTTTTAAAAAAATAATATGAGATTGTATAAGAAGTCATTTCAGAATCAGAGGAAATGATAACTGGAATCCTGTTGCACTTATTTTAATAAATATTTTATATTTTCTTAATAGCCATAAATAAAGTTGTCCTCTAGAATAAATACCGTGCCCAATGGCATGTTTTTATAGGTGAACCTTGGCAGACTATTTGAGCATGTGGGCATCATCGCTCTCCTTGTCTGAGGTTCACAAACTGTCTATAGTTATCAGGGGCTGATTGTGTTCCCCTTCCTGTTCTCTTCAACCGTGCTTTCGATCACCCTGCTTCCCCTACTGCCCTCCACCCTCCCCGATCCCGACTGCCAGCTTGGGTCCAAAACTCTGACTGTCCAGTGCCTTGGGATTTCTTCCTGACATGAAAGGTGTTATACAAATGTCATTTTGCTGTTGTTGTTGTTGTTGTTCCAAGCTCTGAGGCAAATTATAGCACCCTTATTATTTTCGTAGCTCAGACCAGCTAATTCAGTCAGGGATCTTTCTGATCTTTATGACTAACCAAATAAACTCACCCGATAAACTCACTGACCCATCCAGCTGTGTTTCAGGTTAATAAAATAACAATAATCCTTGCATTTGGTATAGCATTCTTGAGACATCTCAAAACACTTCACAAGACATACTGTAGTGTGGTCTGACGTGTATTTTGTGAGTGAACGCCAGGGCCAATTTGTACACAGCAATGTCCCCAAAACAGCCATGTGAATGACCAGTTTTATTTGGGGGTTTTTGGCTAGGACACCGGGAGAAACACCCTTCTTTTTTCGAATAGTGTTATGGGATCTTTAACGTCTACCTGGACAGGCAGACAAGACCTTGGGTTAACATCTCATCTGAAGGATGGTACCTCTGACAATGCAGAATCCCCCCCCAGCACTGCATTAAAGTGTCAGCATAGTCTTTTGGGTTCCACGGCCTGGCATGGGGTTTGAACCCTCAATCTCCTGACTCAGAGGTGAGATTGCTACCAACTGAGCCAGGCTGACAACAAGGGGGTAAGAGTAAGCTTGACTGAGAGTGTGTCACCCCCAAATGTAATCACTTTTTAAATAAATTTAATGCATGAAACCTCTTAAAAAATGATCTACTCAAATCTTTGTGTTTGTAAAATAATGAACTTTTCTGGTTAATAATTTTCTCTGCTTTTCCTGCCTATGAATTTTTTTGTTCCATGAAGAACATGTTTACAAACTAGCCCTTGGCTTCAACTGAAAAAGACTCTTTGTTTGGTGAATACTTGGATGATTTCTACACAGATTTTGTTGTGTTAGTTTCTGGAAATAACTACTACTAATAATAATCCCTAAATTGCTATAATGTTAGGAGTACATCTCAAAAGTGCTTCACAGGATATTAATGCAAAGTCGATACATGTGTATATATATATATATATATATGCCTGCGTGTTTTGGGGGCGAATGCATTAGTCAATTTGTGCACAGCAATGTCCCGCAAACAGTGATGAAGTGAATGACTAATTTCAGTGAGGGATTGTTGGCCAAGAAACTGGGAGAAATTCCCTCCTCTTTGAATAATGCCATGGGATTTTTAAGCTGAACAGCCAGAACAGCTCACTTAAGATGAACAGCTCAGTTTAATGTCTCATCTGAAGGATGGCACTGCCAACAATGCAATCCCCACCCCCAACACTGCATTGGAGTGTCATCTTAGACTATGTGAGTTCCAAATCCCAACAAGAAGCATGAACCCACAGCATTCTGACTCACAGGCAAGAATAAAATCAACTGAGCTAGCTTCGCTGTACAGTAAAGAGCTCTATAAGTGGCCTTTAGAACGTTTATCACGATGCTTCATTATCACTTTCAGGTGATAAGCTCATAATATCAGCCAACTAAAGCCTACATTATTTTTAGTTTCTAGTTGATAACAGCTCATGATGATACGAACTTTACATCCACAATACAGTCACCAATAACACCAAAGCATATATTGCTGATCTAACATACGTTTAATTCATTATGAAAGAGATTTAAGAATTTCCTTGCCTTCATTTCTTTCAGGTCAGAGTGGTGCTGGTAATAATTGGGCCAAAGGACATTACACTGAAGGCGCTGAATTGGTTGACTCTGTCCTGGATGTAGTGAGGAAGGAGGCTGAAAGCTGTGATTGTCTCCAGGGCTTCCAGCTCACCCACTCACTGGGTGGTGGCACTGGTGCTGGTATGGGCACACTTCTCATTAGCAAGATCCGTGAAGAATATCCTGACAGAATCATGAACACTTTTAGTATCGTGCCATCACCCAAAGTGTCAGACACTGTAGTTGAGCCTTATAATGCCACACTGTCTGTGCACCAGCTTGTAGAGAACACTGACGAAACCTACTGTATTGATAATGAGGCCCTGTATGACATTTGTTTCCGTACACTCAAGTTGACAACTCCCACTTACGGTGATCTGAACCACCTTGTGTCAGCCACCATGAGTGGTGTGACAACCTGCCTGCGTTTCCCTGGACAGCTCAATGCTGACCTACGTAAACTGGCTGTGAACATGGTGCCCTTCCCCCGGCTGCACTTTTTTGTCCCAGGCTTTACTCCTCTAACCAGCCGTGGAAGCCAGCAGTACCGTGCCCTCACAGTGCCTGAGCTCACCCAACAGATGTTTGATGCTAAGAACATGATGGCTGCCTGTGACCCACGACACGGGCGCTATCTTACTGTTGCTGCCGTTTTCCGAGGCCGTATGTCCATGAAAGAGGTGGATGAGCAGATGCTCAATGTACAGAACAAAAATAGCACCTATTTTGTGGAATGGATCCCCAACAATGTCAAGACAGCTGTCTGTGACATCCCACCCAGAGGCCTCAAGATGTCTGCCACCTTCATCGGCAACACCACAGCCATCCAGGAGCTGTTTAAACGCATCTCTGAGCAGTTCACAGCCATGTTCCGGAGGAAAGCTTTCCTGCATTGGTACACTGGTGAGGGCATGGAAGAGACAGAATTTACTGAGGCTGAGAGCAACATGAATGATCTGGTGTCAGAGTACCAGCAATACCAGGATGCCACATCTGGAGAGGAGGCTGAAGAGGAAGAAGCAGGTGGAGAAGAAGCCGCGTAACATGTATTGTGTACACTATATTCGGAGCTTCAGATGTGCATTATTAAATTCCCATTCCACACTTTCTTGTTTTCATATTGAATGCTACTTTTTAAAGAGAATAAATTTAAATGATTTCATCAGCACCTAATTGGAGTATTTTATTCCAAGTTTAAAATGAACACCGATTGTCTAGAAACATAGCATTTTACAGCACGGAAGGTCGTTTTTGTCCTGTGTGCCTGTGGTGGCTCTCTGGAAGAGCTTTTAATTGACACTCCACCTTTCCCCACATTCCCCCCCTTTACATTTTTCCATTTTCATATGTTTATCTAATACCCTTTTTACAAACTTATGCTTAAAACCATTGCTTTTCTCCCAGGGAGACCCTGAGAGGCGGTGCCTTCCGAGAGGGGAAGCAAATAACAATGATAAATGGCCTCAAAACAAACGCTCCTAATAATAAAAGTTTGGCCCAAATCACACAGTCCTGACGTTGTTGTTCCCCTTTAACACGACGGCCGGCAGGCGAGGCAGCACGTGGGCAAACCTCCACTGCGCATGTCGCCCATTACCGGCCAACCAATGGAAGGCGAGCGAGCCCCAAACGGACCAATGGGACAGCGAGACGTGTAAAGTGGGCGGGGACGACATGTGGCTATATAATCTGCCCCGCCAACAGTCGAAAGTCAGTTGAGCCGCCGCAGCCCAGCGAAGGTGGTTGTGAGTAACGGCATTGAGTTTAGACATCACCGGGCAGACAAACCTTCCAGTATGAGAGAGATCGTGCACCTCCAGGCCGGCCAGTGCGGCAACCAAATTGGTGCTAAGGTCTGTCCCCTGAGATACGGGTGGAAAGCGAGGGGGCGGGGGGATTGTTTCGCAGACTCTGCCGAGCGGGCGTTTTTTTTTGTCTGTCTTCGAGTCGTGCGGGTGGTGGCGGTTGGAGGAGCTCGGCGGGGACAACTTCACGGACGGCTACTCCGAACGATTAAGCGTCACGGAAAAGAGGGCAAATCCGCCCACCCGTCCCCGCCGTCGTGTAGGGAACCCCCCCCCCCCCCCCCCCCCGAGGTAATAAGTCGAGCCCGCAGACCCGAGAAAAAAAACACCTCTCTGCGCTCGAGCTTCGACGCCGGCCTCCGTCGGGGCCTAGTGTGGCCGTTAGGCCCGCAGCCCGCGACTTGAGGAGTTGAGCGCGCGGGCCTCGGGGGTGCGAGCGACCGTTAGCGGGGGGGCGGGGGGCGGGAGGGTCGCGCGAGTGGTTTCGAGTCTCGTTTCTCTACGCATGCGCGGAGTTCGAGGGCGTCTGACGATGCGCTGGAGCTGTGGGAGAGTGCGCGCGCAGCGCCACGTGCTCCCGAGCCTCTCCTGGTCTTCCGGTCTGAGCTGGAGCCCGGAGTACGGCCATCCTGTGAGATTATGGCTGGTATGTAGGGTAAGCCCAATACCTGCCTTTGCCCCGTATCCCCTCAAATATCTGTCCACCAAAGTCTTGAGAAGGTGAATGGATCCGGCATCCGCAGACTTTTATAGATTGGGTCTATTTTCATTGGGGGGGGGGTGTGAGAGGGCAGAGGAGGGAACGTGATGGAGGTGTCCAAATAGTGAGGGCTTTTTAACAAGGCTATTTGCCCAAGGAGGGAGGTCAATGACCAAGGTAATAACAACAATGAGGGTAACTCCTGAAGTTGTAAGGTGGACTGTCAGAAGATTATCCTCCCTTCAAGCTGTTTCCTAAATATTGCCCTCGACCAACCACCTTTCCTGGCAACCTGTTCCAGTTGTTAGCATTTCTTTAACAAGATAGTGATTATCTGGTTTTTGTTCTTAAGTTGCCCTTGACTACACTTTATTCTCCTTTGCTGATTGTTAATGTAAGTTTACTTTTTGTATTCAGTTCTGGGAAGTCATCAGCGATGAACATGGCATTGATCCCACTGGAGCCTACCATGGGGACAGTGATCTTCAGTTGGAAAGGATTAATGTTTATTACAATGAGGCTACAGGTATTGAAAACATTGACAATATTTTTAGGTATGTATTATGAGTGTAAAAACAAGGCATTAATTTAATGTCTTTAAACAGGTGGTAAATATGTGCCTCGTGCAATTCTCATGGATCTGGAGCCTGGTACAATGGACTCTGTTCGATCTGGACCCTTTGGACAGATTTTCAGACCTGATAACTTTGTTTTTGGTAGGTACTCTTTATGCCAACATGTGTCTAGACCTAAATGGTAATTTAAGACGGGGGAGGGGGAACTATATTCAGACGTTCACTTGCTGAGATATGGAGGCTCTTCATCCTTTTGATCTAATTGTTACAGAATGCCTACCCTATTTTCTCAATACAGAATTAAAAAAAGTGGAAATATACTTCTGCTATCTGTCCATAAACTACCCTTTAGAACCCTGAACCTGTACCTTCATGTTCTTCTGCTTGCTGTATCAGAAAGTATTACTCTGAAGGGCTTACCAAAATGACTTTTTCTGTACTGTGACCAGAGTTGGACTTATCGATGATATTTATTCAGTGTATAGTATTTAAATTGTATTGTCGCATGTTTTTGCTTGCTGTTTTTAGGGCAAAGTGGTGCCGGTAACAATTGGGCCAAAGGACATTACACTGATGGCGCTGAACTAATCGACTCTGTTCTGGATGTGGTGAGGAAAGAGGCAGAGGGCTGTGATTGCCTCCAGGGCTTCCAGCTCACCCACTCACTGGGTGGTGGTACTGGCTCTGGTATGGGCACACTTCTCATTAGCAAGATCCGTGAAGAATATCCTGACAGAATCATGAACACTTTTAGCGTTGTACCTTCACCAAAGGTGTCGGACACTGTAGTAGAGCCTTATAATGCCACACTGTCTGTCCATCAGCTTGTAGAGAACACTGATGAGACATTCTGTATTGATAATGAGGCCCTGTATGACATTTGTTTTCACACACTGAAACTGACAACTCCCACTTATGGTGACTTGAACCATCTAATGTCAGCCACCATGAGTGGTGTGACAACCTGCCTGCGTTTCCCTGGACAGCTCAACGCTGACCTGCGTAAACTGGCTGTGAATATGGTGCCCTTCCCCCGTCTGCACTTCTTCATGACTGGTTTTGCTCCTCTAACCAGCCGTGGAAGCCAGCAGTACCGTGCCCTCACAGTGCCTGAGCTCACTCAACAAATGTTTGATGCTAAGAACATGATGGCTGCCTGTGACCCACGACACGGGCGCTATCTTACTGTTGCTGCTATTTTCCGAGGCCGTATGTCCATGAAAGAGGTGGATGAGCAGATGCTAAATGTGCAGAACAAAAATAGCACCTATTTTGTGGAATGGATCCCCAACAATGTCAAGACAGCTGTCTGTGACATCCCACCCAGAGGCCTCAAGATGTCTGCCACCTTCATTGGCAACAGCACAGCCATCCAGGAGCTGTTTAAACGCATCTCTGAGCAGTTCACAGCCATGTTCCGGAGGAAAGCTTTCCTGCATTGGTACACTGGTGAGGGCATGGATGAGATGGAGTTCACTGAGGCTGAGAGCAACATGAATGATCTGGTGTCAGAGTACCAGCAATACCAGGATGCCACAGTTGGAGATGAAGGTGAATTTGAAGAGGAGGCTGAAGAAGAGGCTGCATAGGCAGTGTTGTATATAATTTAGAGCCTGTTGGGAAAATTAAATCCAAATGGTGTTCAGTGTTCTCTTTAATGGGGGCTGAAAAGTTACAAAACAATACTTTTCCTATATGCATACTTGGGCTTTTGATCCAGTGGTATCTTAAATTGTTGCATTTTGAATAATTTCAGGAAGGTGTTGGTGATTTTTTACTTCCTGGATTAGAAATATAGAGCTTGTATAGTATCACCTGTTTTTTCTTGCTGTACTTACCCGAGTCATGTGGCTTGGATCGTTTCTTGGACCAGTCCAAATCTCTTCGCTCAGTCTCCTTACAATGGTCCCTTGAGTAGGAGTGGGTCCAAGGGACAGCATTGTTGGAATCTCTTGCAATAGGGAAAGTATTTAGTTTGCTCTTTCTAACAAGAATACTTTAATAAAAATTCTTATGGACTTTACTTTGCTTTTCTCTTTGTTACATTGAAACCTGTTTCTGAATTTCATGTCTTCCTGTTCTACTTTCATATCTTCTCTTTTGTATTGAATGTTGGTCTGAAATACTTGAATTAAATCTGTTATATCTGTTAACATTTTGGTTTTGCCTTTTGTTTTCCCAAGTTAGTGAATGTTACATCCCTGCTCAAGAGAAGAATAAAATGACATTGTAGGCCAAATACAGTATTATCTCAGTTGTGGGTAAACTTCTAGTGACCATTATACAAGATGCCATTCTTGAATTCTTAAAGATAGGAAAGGATCTATAAGTCGGTATATATTTTCTAAAGATCAGATAGCTAATTTTGTTAACTTAATTTTTTTGAGACTATATGTTATTAAGCTCTCATGAATATACTGTAAAGTGAATTGACGGTATATTTTGGGGGTGAAACACAGCAGCCAATTGCACATAGCAATGTCCCACAAACAATCGGGGATTATTGCTCCTGAAAACCCAATCCGCCAGTTGACTAACAACTGGGTTTCTACTTACTGCTCGGTAAACAGACACACGTGGAGTAAAGAAACTTGTCTAACATTTCTCCCCGCCAGGGAATTGAACCCAAGTCCTCTCTTGAGAGAGGTGAGTACTCTAACCAATAAGCTACAGGACTCCACGATCATTAAGTCAATTTGTATGTGGTGGGATGCCAGTGGACCTTGGCAAGGTGATAAGGTGGAGGAAAGTGGTCCTGATTCTATCTCTTAAGCATAAAGATCCCATGTGTCCTGGCCAATATTTTTCATTCAAAATTCATGAAAAAAACACATTTGTTTATGTAAATATAGTACACTTCAAAGTACTATGTATTGTGAAGGCTCTGATAAGGTTTGGGATAATATTGATGATGATAAGCAATTATTTCAAATACAAGAATGTATTTGTTCCTGTAGCTGAATCAATCTATTTAATGCAGCTACTAAATAATTTAATGCACCTCACTTGTTCCATAACTGGCATAATCCTGTGTTCCAGGAGGGTGTCTGAAAAGGATGGTTGAGCGCACAATAAACCTTGCATGTGATGTAGCACCAAAACAAAGCAAATTTACATTTACAGTAAATAGCATCTTTCACATCAGGAAAACCTATATGTAAACATCTCAAAAGACTTCACAGGTAATTGTTTTACAGGCAATGCAGATGGGGCTTTGGTTTAACATCTCAATCAGAGAACAGAAGATCTGACAGTGCAACCCCCACCCCACCCCCCAGCAATTCAATGGGAGTATCAGCCTAGATTATGCGCTCAATATTTTCACTGGCAAGCATTATCCAGCAGCAATTTAAAGTGCATCTCTAATCAATGCAATAGAATGTCAAACTACATATATGTGAGTTGATGGTCAAGCGTTATTTTCAACCCAGAAGTAATGCTTATGACCTCACGCCCAGAGGAAATTTCTCATCAGCATTATGCATTGAAAATTTTTCTTTGGTGCAAGCAAATGTTCTTATAAATCACCAAGAGCTCATGGAGAAACTATTCATGACATTACTTTATGGGTTAATTTCCAGATCGCAGTTCAGTTGTTAATACATATCTGAGCATCCGACATACCAGGATTACAAAGTTGAGGAGTAATATTTTCTATACAGTGTTCAATACTTCCAACTACTGTATTGTTTATTCATCACATTAAAGCTCATTTCTGACCTTTCACTTTCTGTTCTGTATTATTTCATCCTTTCTGTGTTTCCATCTCAAAAACTCCAAAGTCATCCACTCAAAAACTTCCTGATAGTACAATTTTATGCAATGACATTTTGGAATTTTAAGGAATATGGATTTCCTGATAGGCATTCCTAGAATTCCGACCAAATGTGTTTCCAACACCAAATTGACTGCCTGCAAACATGAATTTGTTGAAATAAAGAATTATTCTGTCATTCTATAACTATTAATGTAGGTATATCAGAACACACCCACAAAATAGACAAACCAGTTACCTCTCAAATTAGGTCTGTAATCTTTTTAATGTAAAGTTCAATAAGTTTTTTTTTTTAGCTTTTTCACCTTCATATTCCTCAATGTAGCTTTATAAATCTTTCTAAATTCTTAATTGCTGAAGGTCTAATTAAGTCTTCCCTAATCCCTTGCAAATTGTTGGATACAGTATGTATTTAGTGACTACAATGCAGAGGTTTTTAAAGATTGATACACATACCTGGCATATGACCTCCATAATGAGGGACCATTCCTGCTTTGTGGTAAATCTCATTATCAACTTGGGAGACAAAAGGCTTTGGGCAAGATTTGATTTTGTTCCTTGAAAAATACTGAAATGAAAATGTTCGTGGCATGAAAACTGCACGATTAGCATATTTCCATTACGTGAAATTTCATAACTTAAAAATACAATATTTCAATCAACATTTTTAAAAAATATACCGATAGAATAATGAAACTAACAACATATCAACACAACAGCAAACAGTTTGGAGAACTGAAAAACAACCATCAATACATTACCAATAGGTGCTAGATAACAAATACATATAATAATAATCTTTGCATTTGATTTAGCACCTGGTTCAGTAGTACCACTCTCTCTTGAGTCAGACGGTTGTGGCTTCAAGCCCCGTGTCAATAGCACTTTTCAAGAAACCTTCCTTCCTGAAAAATGCTCAGTAGGAACCTTTGCAGGAATAGTTGTAAATACCTGCTTATGCTGGAACGTATCCATGGCTTGTTTCACACGTTCAGAATAAGGATGCGAGTAAATCTTTGATATTTCAGGAACAAATCCTGTGTAACCTACACTAAACAGTGAGAGGAGATTATCAATGTTTTTTTCCCCACAGAAAGCGCTGTCCTCAGCTGAGTACTTCACTAAAGTAACAATATTGAAAGTAATCCTTTCAACGTTTTCAGGCCGGACAAATTGAGACCTTTGAAAGGAGCACTGGGAGCAAGGCCAGGGCATTTAGAGTCACCACATTTATGCTGTGATCACTGCTTCTGAAACTACTTCCACATGGCGTCAGTAGTGGGTTGCAGTGCATGTTATGCTCAGACAAGCATTTATCTGCATCCTCAGACAAGCAACGAAGGAACACTATTTTTCAGTTGTTCCTTCACAGCAAACTTGAAGCTCACTTGTGTGGTCGTAAAATAATGCGTTGATTGACTGGATTTTTTAAACATTGATTAACCTTTCATCTTACTCCAAACTATATTCTAATGTGATAGTAAAAACATACCTGCAATCCCTCTCCTCTGTAATTCAGGAGGTTGTGTGGTAAAGAGATGCTTGTGCTTGTACAGATGAGTCCAACTCACTGGATCAACTTTTGAAGCCACTGCTTTCAATGGCCTGTTCTCACCAGAGGTTGCCAGCTGAGAAGGAAATGCCAGGGTGGAACACATAAATCTGTATACTGCCAGTGCGAGTGTTTACTATTAATATCAGGAATAATAATTCTTACATTTGATATAGCATCGATAATGTTGAAACACTCAAAACACAGTAAATATTGTTAAGTGGAGTGATTGCATTTGTAGGCAAATACTCTATTCCTCCCAGCTGTACTTGAATGTCGTTATATATTTTGTACCCCGCACCCTCTACCAATATGTCCCATCAGTGTAAGCTCTGGTTATGCTGTTTGACATCTCTGCTGTACCCCATCCCCTTCCTACTGCTTTCCTACCATTGACAGTATAGGTTCATATGAGTATTGACTACATTGTTTTCTCTTGCCATGACATGCCCACTGTGTCTCATAATTTATACCCTTGTTCCGCCATCTCTATAGGTGAGGAGTATCGGTTCATTCTTTTTTCTCTGGTAATCCACTTTATTCTTCAATAATTCCATTCCACAATCAAGAGACTCCTTATTGTAGCTATTCCCAAACTTGTACATCCTCTGAGGAACATATCCTGATGAGTAAAGGAAAAGTCTGATGATATAGAATAAGGACATATGAAAGTATGGAACAAGGATACTGATCTGGTTCATTATAACATAGGGTTAATGCCCTTCATGAGGGTAGCATCTTGGAACACTTTACAGGAATATGACAGCAATTTGGGAAGTGGAAGGAAGCAATCCAGTTTGAAGTTGGAAAGATAAAGTAGTTGGCGATTGCATTAGTTCTTAGCAAACAAAATCTATTTATTCTCTGCAATCTTGTCTACCACAATGATATTAATTTTCTTGTATCTAGAATGGAATGAGTACTCTCTTCCTGGAGGTATGCATTCTACATGTCTAATTCTGCAGAGTATTAGGTGCAGGCTGAAAAAAGCGAAGGTTTGGGACCCAAGTGTGCAGTGGGGGTACTGCTGGGGTTTAACCAGCTAAAACGTCACAGATTCTCATTGAAAGCGCTGTCTGGCAAGCTTCCCACTGGTTGTCCAGCTAGGATCACCCCACATGTTTGGTGGCACACATACGTGGAACGTTCAATCTGGTTTGGATACCTTAAGCTTGGAGATGAGCTTCTGCATGTGTTGGACAATTAGCTGACCAAAAAAAACAAAAGCAATATCATAAACGGAATGTTTTCTATTCAGAATAAAACTCATACCATATCTGACTCACCGGTGTAGCCAGGAATGAGCTTTTCTCCAAAGATCTGGTCTGATACACCCGGTGAATAGGGTATGCAGTTCTCATCATCACTGTAGTACTGAGGCGCATTTATAGGTGCCAGAAGAGAGTGTGATCCTTCATTGGCATGAGAAGCCAGTAGATCCAATGTGGTTTTGCCAAAGGTCTTCCCAGTTTGATGTGGATATTTGGGACAATATCCTGCATATCTACATGTGAACAAAGGTATTTATACATATATTACAATTCCACACCCAGTGTCCCACACAACAATATAAGTACAGCGGAATATATAAGTTACACATCCAGATATTTTGGGCCAATGTCAATCAGCCTGCAGGAATATTTAGTTAGTTGCTTGGCCAGGAAAGTCCAGTGTTATTTGGAAAAAAAGTTTGAAATCAATGTGACAGTATAATAATAATAATCCTTGTATTTGATATAGCGCCTTATATCAGAAGAATGTCTCAAATCGCTCTTCGGGATTTACTGTGAAATGGAGTGACTTTGTATTTGTGTCTCATGCACACAAAATAGAAATTTATGTTTATATAGCATAAGATCGTAAGAGAGGTCAGAAGAAGAGGGGGCTGAGTTCTTATCCTACCAAGATCCCCACCCTTCCATTCTCCCATTCAGCCATTTCTTAAGTGAGTCCAGTATCCTGGTCTCAACCACCATTCCGCATAACCCTGTTCCATAATAGTGTGAAGGCCACAGCTGTTAACCATGTTAGATTTCTTCATTATCAAGTCTATATTATTATTCCTGGCCACGACCCCCGAGATAAAATTGGTTATTCATTTCACGGCTGTTTGTAAGACATTGCTGCGTGCAAATTGGCTACCACGTTTACATACAAATACACAGTTCTTACGCTATAGCGATTCCTGTGAAGCGCTTTGAGACGTCTTGACAACGTGATAAGGCGCTATATCAAAAGCAAGGATTTTTATTATTATTGCAAATAAACACAGTGTTTGAATATCCTTTTTTTCTCTTCTCATCAATTTTCTCTCTTCTCTCCTCTCCTGAAGCCATTTGAACACTTTGAACTCTGCAGAGTAAAATATTTCTCTCTGCTGGACACTGCCAGTGACATGTATTCAGCAATCACCGAATAGAGTTCATCTTCAAGAAGGGACTTGGTGATATTCATTTTGAAGTCATTTTTTTCTCGGTTCTGGCTTCGAAATCAAGTCTTAATGTAAGATGAGGTGGAATTTGGGGTCAATAGACTCTGTTGTCAGGGTGTATTGACAACAGATCATTGATATTCTTATTATAGTCATAAAGCAATAATTCATATTAAAGGCTGTAGTTTTATGTTTTAAACCCAATCCTAATACGCGCCCATAGAAAGCATCACCTACCCAGGGATGTAATGTGGTTCTGGGGTGAAGAGGCTATGCTTCCCGACATTCATCCTGTCAGTCGTCAGGCTGCTCCTGACTGCTGTATCTGGTGGACTATCATTGCACAGCAAATTTCCTACTGTCAGTGTCAGGCAGTTACCAAGCAACCAATATGCTGTTACGTTACAGTGTTCGTGACATCAGCACCATAGCCAGTCAGCACCTTGTAACCCTCTGTGAGAGGCTGAGTCAGGTATTAGGCCATTTAACGAATAAGATGGGCACATCGGTGCCTTGCCGGCGTTCCTGGCCAGGCTCTGGGATGAATAATTGGACAGTTCTGAAGCAACAGAAATTTAGGTTTCCCAATTATCAGATCCCAAAAAGCGCCCCCCTCATTGAAAAGGTCTCACCAGTAGCTATCAGAAGGAATATAGTCTTGCTGGAGTACCTGACAAATCAGACATGTGTTCAAGACACCCACAGACCTCGCCCGCAGACCTTTCGGGACAGGTACAGAACTCCCTCACGTGGCAGTCCCAACAACGGTAGAAGACTTTCCCATCGAGATAACATGAAAAAACAGATGCAGCTAACACTGGAATGCAAAGGAATTCATATTGATATCCCACGGGAACGACAAAGGGCTGTGACTAGTAAAGAACAAACCTACCAAGTTAATCTGTGCCTTAATCACCGAGGAACTGGGCCATGCTATATACAAGATCTCCGAACATATCAGACACATTATCCAAAAGACTTTTTCATAACTCAGGTGGTTAACTCAACAGAATACCCCAAACCTCAGACAGTTCCTTCAGGAGACAGCAAGACATTTCAGATACAGCCTTCATTAGATAGCCAAGGAACTCAGGTGAACCCTCAGCTGGTTGGCTGCAAAATTCCCTCACTTGACTACTCACATGAGAGACAAGAAACTCAGCTGAATCTAGTACAAGACAATCAAGAAGCTACAGTGGTTCTCCCAGTGGATGAACAGGGATCTAACACGCTTCCCCCAATAGGCCCTCCAGGAACAAAGACGTTTCTTCCCTCAAGCAGTCAGGGTGTTAAGAACCATTCTCTCCTGGACTCCCATGGAACTAAGGTGATTCTGCCTCAAGGAAACATGGGAACTAATACACCTTCCTTACCAGGCTATCAGGGAAATAAGGCATATTTCTCACTGGATTACCAGAGAACTCAAATCCAATGTCCACCAAGCTCTCCAAAACCCAAGATTCAGCCATCTCAGGATTGCCAGGGAAATTGGTTACAATGCTCAGGGGCTACTTTGAGGCCATCACAGTATTGCCAGTGCCCCCGAAGCTGTCTAGGACCCAACCTGCGCCCATCACAGGATGGTCAAGGAACTCAATGCCCACAGGGTTGTTGTCCAGGAGCTACACTGCGCCCATCACAGGGCAGCCTAGTATCTTGGAGTCAATGCCCACGGATTTGTCCAGGACCTACACTGCGCCCGTCGCAAGATTGCCAGGGTAATCGGACACTGTGCCCACGAGGCTCTCTGGGAGGTGTCCTGCGCCCAGCATTCAGCTGCCAGGGAAATCGGTCACAATGCCCACAGTGTTGTATAGGATCTAACACGCTTTCATCACTGGATTCCCAAGTCATCCAAGCACTTTGCCCAAGAAATGACCAGGCAACAGAATCATCACTCACTGGACAGTTGGAGTGCTCAAATAGAAAACCTGCTCCATTGCCAGGGGTGATCAATCCTCCTACAAATGGTCAACCAGTGTAATTGGACAGAATGACTACTTAACTGCCAGAGAGCTCAGATTCAACCCTATCAGGTAATCACACGTTGGATGAATTTCTCCCAAAGGACATAAGAACATATCCCAAAAGCACTTAAAATTCAGAGTCCTGAAATGCCTCGTAATCATTTTGAAACCGGTTTGATAAAGAACTTGGAGCGCTTTACAGTGGTTGGGTTGGACGGGTGCTTAGCAGTAAGAAGGGGGAATAGGGTGAAAGGGAGAGGGGGAGGTGGTGATCGAAGAGGTAAGTTTTAAGGTGGGACTTGAAGACTGATAGAGAGGGTGGGAGGCAGAGGGGTTGAGGGAGTGAGTTCCAGATGTTAAGGGCAGTTTAGATCAGTTATTGATGGTTAGAGTTTCTCACACTGAAAGAAAATATCATATACCATTGCAGTTACTCTCCTCTCAACCACTGCAACGAACTGTGGTAGAAGCCTGAAATCCTCGGCACGATCGATAATAAGGACAAGTGCACGAGAACGAAATTAAAGCACGCCATTGTACATAACTGCCTTCAATGTATCATTAAGAAAGATGTGACGTGTGAAGCGGCTGAATTAAGCCTGTCTGAATATTATTTAAGTTATGTGATTGAACCGCTTTGTGACGTCGTGAGGAAGCTGTGGTGATATCAGAGGAGCTACTTTGGCGTCATAAAGGAAAAGGGGATGGAGTATTGGCTGCACATTGATGTCAGTCTCATTGTTTGATAAACAAGCTATTCCAGTTTGGGGAATAATAATAACCCTTGCATTTGATATAGCGCCTTCTCGCGTCTTCGAGACATCTAAAGCACTTCACAGAATGTACCATAACGTGAATTGACTGTATATTTAATGGGCGAAATGCGGCGGCCAATTGTGCATGTTTGTCTGTCACGCAATGAGTCTGACATCAATCTGATTTAATTTGCGGGTTGGGGTTAAGACCTTGTTTGCAAAACTTGCAGGTTGCCTTAACCACATGCAAACACTCGTGAATAGAGGTCAGAGCAATGCTGTTTCATAGAAACATGGAATCTCTCTCATGGATTTGCATTTCCTAATCCAAATCTACTCCCAAATTGATTAACTAGATGCTCATCTCACTGTTGTGTTCGGGACAGAGCCGGTGTAGATTAACTTCCCATGTTCACCCATGTAACAACATAAACTTAATTTCGAATCAGTTGCTGTGTTTTGTAAAATGATTTGAAGTGTGAAAGGTGCTACCTAAATGCAAGTTATTTTTGCTGTGTTGTAAGGTGCCCTTCATTATGTAATGAACAATAAAAGGAATTACAGGTGATTTTGTAATCTTACAGTGATTAAGTACGGAATTGAGGGCTCCTGGGTTAGTTTCCCCATGATTAACCCAACCCACATATTGGACTTCAATAACTGAAAAACAATGAAGCATTTTATAAATACAAGCAGTGAATACAAACTGCATCCATTGTTTGTCATCAGGTATCCTGTTTATCCACTTTAAAGCCAAAGTATTTAAAGGTGTGTGATAACCCTGCGCCAATGGAAATTCAAATTTGCATTCCTGTTATCTGCAGGTAGTACGAGTGCTCATTGGTGAACTTTGATATGTGAAATGCGACTGAGATTGAAAATGATTTGACATTTCTCTCAAAAACGAATCATTAAATCCTGGTTCAGTGCCAGTCAATCCCAGCTGCTGATACAAGCTTTGAGGGAAGCATGGAATCCTTGGTGTGACCAACAGTGAGGTGCCAGCGGAAGAAACGAAAGAGAAAGGAGTGATATTTGCATCATTCATAATGTGTTCTTTGTATTATTACAAGGAGCACATTATCAGATACTCCATATTTCACCCCAGAATGTGAAGTCAACTCCATTGACATACAGTATCTATGGAGAGCAATTCCACACGGCAGCATTTCAGAATTTACACCTTGTATTTTTTTCAAAGAAATGCACAGAAAGGCGGCTTCAGAATCAAGAATGCATTTAAGTATTTGACAATTTTTTGATGCTCTGACATGTTAGTTAAATAAAGTAAATCTAGACGCAGGTAGAATTTCTCCTCAGCCCATTTATTACAAGGGGAAGGCGTCATTATGAATGATGTACGTGACGCATATTGGAGCAGTACTGTATTGCTGCGTTTATCAAATAGATCTTGAAGATTTCTGTCATCCTGTCTGCCACTGCCAAGTTAGCTGTGGCATATTGTAGCTTACTGCACTGTCCATTTTGCCCTGTAAATTTTGAATGGTTTCACTGACCCGTTAAAGTTCCTGATCCTGGAAGAATAGCTTCTATTCCACTGCACAAGCCAGTCCCACTGATTGAATAGTAGGAATGTTGTGTGGTGATCAACTAGAGTTGAAACAAAAACAGAGAGAGCTGGGAAAACTCAGCAGGTCAGGCAGCATCTATGGAGAAAGAAAAGTGAGTCAACGTTTTGGGTCTGATGAAGGGTCGTGGACCCGAGACGTTGACTCACTTTCTTTTTTCTCTTCTCTCTCTGTTTTTGTTTCAGATTTCCAGCATCTGCAGTATTTTGTGTTTTGAACTAAATAGAGTTACTTGTTTCACTCACACAATATACAATCAATTCACTTTACAGTATATTCTGTGAAGCGTGTCGAGACGTCTTGAAGACGAGATAAGGATTATTATTATGTGAAAATGAAGTTTGCAATCAGCAAATTATGGACCCCAGTGTTTTACCCACCACACCACCCAATGTCTCTAAATGGATTGTGTCTATCACACTTTTCACTCCACAATATTACACGCATATGTAATAGAAATGCATTTTTTTGACAGGCCCAATTATGATGGGAGTTTTTCAATATTGTCTGGTCCCAGGGATTTTTAAGGTATAAGGCATTGGAACAAGGGAAGACTGAGAGAGAGACTCTGGTAAGCAAACAAATTATCCCCATATAGTTGTGACAATTATTATCCAAAGGAAGTTCCGCCAACACATAGATACATTGGAAGGTACAGAACTGGATAAGACCATTGCAATATTCATCTCTGGGGCCTCTTACCCCTCAATTAATACAGCAACTTCACCAATTCTCTCTTGAATTTGTTGACATTCTCTGCCTCTGTTGTGTCCCTGAGTAGTTTATTCCACTCATTGAAAGAAACTGTGCTACAGTACTCGATAAGGCAAGGTTCACAATTAGATTTGAACCATGCAATCCCTTGCCAGTGACTATTTATGTGGGAAATGATCCCTCCAGAAAAAAAATCTGGTCACTCAATCCACCACTGCTGTGCGCAATTGGTTGCCGTGTTTTGCCTCCAAAAATATAGTCAATCCACTTTACAGGATATCCTGTGAAGCACTTTGAGATGCCTCAATTAGGTGATAAGGCGCTGTATCAAAAGCAAGGATTATTATTATTATAAAACCTTGTGCATTCTCTTTCAGGGGAGCCAACAGGGTGCTGTTGTCAAGCTGTTCACTCAGAGTGAGAAGACTTGTCTTTTGATAACAGTGACACACATTTGAGCGATGTATGTAAAAATCCCACCTGTGTAAAGTATTACCCAATAAAGGTCCTTACCAGCTGGGAGAATAAGTCCACTGACCTTTTTCCATTATGGTAGTGTCTGGAGAGTATGTTCCGGAGGTGGCATGTAATGCTGTTGACTTTTATTCAAGAGTCCAGAAGGTTTGTTGGGTTTGTTACAAAAATGAATAAAAGCATGTTTAATAATTAAGGTAAATTACTTTTTTTAAAAGCACTGGTTGGGCAAGTTTCACCTCTGCTTTGTTTGTACCGGTAACACAGTTGAGTCAACCTGGAGGCAACAGCAACAAGAACAGATATCTGAGATACCCTTTATTAAAGGTTGCTACACAAATTAAGTTGCTGTCTGACCTACAAGATCGAAAAATTGGTTTGAACGAAGAAGGTACGTTCGCCCATTTGATGTAATTCTTCCAAAATACTCATTCTATCGTCTTCCATCTCGTTGCATCAAGCCGTTTTTAAATGAGTCCAGCGCCCTGGTCTCAACTCACCCATCCTGGCAACCTGTTCCACTCGTTAACTACCCCCCGGGTAAAAAAAAAAAGTGACCCGGTGTCAAGTTTCGAAATTGCAATTTGCAACTCCAAACCTGTGTCCTCTTGTTCCACTGTCTTCCTGGGAGCACGAAAACCGTGCTGAGGAACCAGCGGCAGACCCGCAGATGCCTCATAGCTTAGGGCTGGTTAGACAAGTGCTGCTGTAAACAAGCAAACGAAAACACACAAATATAAATATTGATGAACATAAATATTGATAGACGCAACTATAAACATGCACGAGTTGGCCGCGGGACCGCCTGAGAGAAGCCGCCTTCCCTAATCCCTGCAAAGCCGCTTCGGGAGGTGTCCTTCCGACGTGAGAAGACGCCGTACCGAAAATCTGAACGCCAGGATAATTATTCATCATTATTATTATTATTATTATTACTATGATGATGATGATGATGGAGTCCTGTAGCTCAGTGGTTAGAGCACTCCCTTTGCAAGCGAGAGACCTGAGTTCAATCCCCGGCAGAGGGCGAAACCTCGGGCAAGTTTCCTTACTCCACACAGAGCCTAATAATAATCCCTCCAAAAAAACAAAACAATAATAAATTAGTCATTTTCAATCCATGACTGTTTGTGGGACATTGCTGTGCGCAATTGGCTGCCGCGTTCGCCCACAAAGATACAGTCAATTCACTTTACAGTGTGTTCTGTGAAGCGCTTCGGGACGTCCTCACGACGTGAAAAGCGCTATATCAAATGCAAAGATTATTATTATTATTATTATTATGATGATGATGATGATGACGACTTAATAAGACAGGGTCACACTTTGGCTCCCAAATGACGTCGGCGGCGTGTGACGTCAGCGCGCTCGGTGCGGGGGGGGGGAGGAGGAGGGGGGAGACACGTCACGGGGCGGCGCCGGCCCGGGGGAGGAGGGGCGAGCTCGGCGCATGCGCGGCGAGGAGATGAGCGGAGCGGCGGCGGCGCCTCTCAGTCACACGGTGGGGGGTTTCGGCCGCTTTCCCGCTTGTCGTCCGGGGTCTCGCCCCGGGGAGGGTCTGCGGTTGCTCGGGTCGGGCGGGTTGACCCCCATGGGCTAAGAGGCCGCGGTTTCCCCCGCCTGCCCCATTGCCAGCCGCTCGGGGCCTCTCAGCCGCCGCCGCCGCGCGGGGCCCCGAAGTCGGGGGAGGCCCGCGTCCGCCCACCGGCAACATGTTCTCGGCGCTGAAGAAGCTGGTGGGCACCGAGCAGCTCCCGGGCAGGGACAAGCTCATCCCGGCCGGACTGCAGTCCATGAACCAGAGCCTCCAGAGGAGGTTCGCCAAGGGGGTGCAGTACAACAGTGAGTGCGGCACCGGCGCCGGGGGGGGCGGCGGGGGGGACAGGCAGCTCCGTGATGGGACACCCACCCACCCACCCACCCTCTGGCACCTGGCAACGCGGACCCCCCCCCTCTCCCCAACCGTGGCACCCGGGAAGCCCCAACCGGTGGTCCCCGGCAACCGGTGGTGCCCCCCCACCCGTGGCACCCGGGAAGCCCCAACCGGTGGCCCCCGGCAACCGGGGTGCCCACCCGTGGCACCCGGGAAGCCCCAACCGGTGGCCCCCGGGAAGCCCCAACCGGTGGAGCCTGGCAACCGGGGTTGCCCTTCAGGTTTGGGGAGAGCGTGGCAGGGGTGGGGTGGTGGGGTGGGTTGGGGTGGGTGCACCCTTAGTCCAGGGATGTTCTCACCCGGCAAGTGGAAGGGTGCCCCCCCCTCCGCCCGCCCGCCCATGTTTCGGCTCGAGTGGCTTCCGCCCGTTTTCAAGCGACGGTCAAAAAGGTCCGTAACGCTTCTCGAAAATAGAAGGGCGTCTTTGCCTGGTATCGCGGCCGCTGTTTAACCCACCGTAGTCTTACGGCCGTTGGTGCGCCTGTGCTGGGCGGCACCACCGATGGTTGGTGTGCAATCTGGTACAAGTTTTTTTAATGTTAAACGGGGTGCCCCGGCCCCACCCCCACCCCCACCCCCGGTTGCCACGAATGGCCAGTGCAGTAGTTGCCAACAAATAAATGGCGAGAGCACTCGCCTCGCAAGCGAGAGGACCCGGGTTCAGTCTCCTTGCTCCACGCTCCTCTGTTTGCCCGGCAGTAAGTAGGAACCTGGTTGGCAGTTGATTGACGGATCACATTTCCGGGGGTAACAATCTAATAATAATATTTTTTTTAAAAAAAACAATCGCTCAATCCACGACTGTTTGCGGGACGCTGCTGTGCGCACTTGGCTGCCGCGTTTCCCTCGCAACATGCACGGCCCACTCACTTTGCAGTATATTTTTGTGAAGCGCTTTGAGACGTCTCGAGGACGTGATAAGGCGTGATATCAAATGCAAGTTTTTTTTAATTATAAATTGGCTTTGCCAGGTGGCAATCACTTTCTCAAAGGGATACCTTTATGGGACTTAGCAAAGAAGATCAAGCTCTTGAAAGGCCATGTCGATTCTTTTACGAGGTTGTTCTTGCTTGTAATGAATCGATCAATTATATTCCCAATTTTCAAGGTTAGGTTAATGGGTCTGTATTTGCGAGGCATGGCTGTTACCTTTATTGAACGTATTTGTCCCAACTGCCTATAAGGAGCTATGCTGGGACACCACTCTCCTTCCTCCTCGATGCACAGAATTCTGGTACAACTCGTATAAAGTTGCCAAACTTAGGAAGGCCATGTAACTGCTCCTTCCGTTTGTCCCCTTTCCTCCTCAATTTCCCGAGAGCTGCTGCTCTGTTTGTTTTGGTGGCTTTGTTTAGTTTGTGACTGAATCGCTGAATGTGCGATATCTACTTGGCAGCAGATCTTCAGTGCCTTGGAATGTACTGGCGGCTCCAGCAAAACGGGCCCGGCGCAGAGAACCTGATTGATACCAACCTCCCGCTCCTCCTCCTCGCTTTATTCAGTTAACACCCAGTTTTGGAATTAATTGTGCAATTAAGCGTTTGTGCAGAACTCTAAACTTGCCTATCGCCTCTTTCACCGTGTGTCCAGCTCATAGAATTCTACAATGACAACCACAAGATTACACTTGTATAGCATTCTACAGCACAGAAGGAGGCCATTCGACCCATCATGTCCATGCCTGCTCTTTGAAAGAGCTATCCAATCAGTCCCACTCTTCTGCTGTTTCCCCATGGCTTTGCAATTTTTTTTCTTTTCAAGTAACTATACAATTCCCTTTTGAAAGTTATTATTGAATCTGTTTCCACTGCCTTTTCAGACAGTGTATTCCAAATCGTAGCAACTCTGCGTTTTAAAAAAAATTTAAAAAAATAAAATTCTCATCTCTTTATTGGCCAATTATCTTAAATCCACCCGCCAGTGGAAACAGCTCTTTAATAACATTAAAAAGTTGATACCTCGAAAGTTCTCGGGCTGAACATTGGAGCAGAGACCAGAACTTCTTTGGACCTGCTGTGGTTGGTTGGGACTGCAGAAGAGCAATCCACAACCCTGCTCACAACAGTGGGGCTTCAGCGCGATTCAGTTCCAAATTGTGCTGCTCAACCCTGATTAATGCTGCACCGTGGAGGTTCCAGTCTCAACACAGCGGACTAGACTGACCCAAATTTGCAGCAAAGTTCCACTTGATTTATTTCGTTTCGACACTGTCACGCTTTTAGTCGAAGTTTGCCGATTTGCTGCTGAATGAAAAATTTATACAGGCGGTACTTTGCAAGCCAGGGACATTTATTTTTTTCAAAAAAAAAATTAGTCTTGGTGGGCATCTCGATGGGTACAGCTCTAACGGTGTTTTATGCAGCTACAGAAGTTAGGAATCTTCGCAATGTGAAACCCACACTTGCCTGGAATGCCATTTGCAGCAAACCTTCCAGCAGTCCAGAGGGAATGTATGTGGATTGACAGAGATAGGAAGGAGTGGAGGGGGAAAAATCGCCTATCAAGTTTGCATTTATAATGTAAGACTAGCACAGGGAATAGAGCGGTATGGGAGAGGGCTTAGGAGGAGTGGAGTACAAACGTTGACACAAGCGAGTTGGGCCAAATGGCCAGTTTCCGGGCGTAAATAATAATATTCAATGTGAAAGGTCGGAACGTGTCATTGCTCTATTTTGGCACCAGATTTCGACTCTTCAGGTGAGGCCGCGATATAAAAGCGGAGCTGGGAAAGATGGTAGTATAGAATCAACACTTAGTGATCTATCGGTAAACCTGGAAGATTAAACGCCATTGTCGCATCGGATTTCACTGCAGGACGGAAAGTGTGGCTGGTTGGAGAGGCAGTAGCAGTGGTAATTGAGGGCGATGCGCTAGGAAAGCATTCTGACAATGAGCCTCTGTGGTACTTTCATTCCTAGTGAAAATACTAATTCGCGGTGACAGGAACACGGGAAAGACAACTCTATGGCACCGACTGCAAGGGAAGAAGTTTGTGGAGCAGTACATCCCAACTCAGGAGATCCAGGTCACCAGCATTCACTGGAACTACAAAAGTAAGTACCTTTGAGCTTGTGATCTGTCCTCGGAAACACACCCGCTCTTTTCTCTCTTTGCTTTATTTCCCTTTTAAAAATTGTCTTCTCTTTTTGGAGAATACTTTCTTTAACAACCACCGTAAAGGCAGATGGAACCTCGGCTTAATAATGCAGGTGGATGGCAACGCAGTATGGTGCTCCCCAAGCGCTGCACTGAAACCGTCAGGGTAGCCTATAATCTCAAAGACTCAAAACGGACTCGTTCTCGAGATAAAATTTGTTTCAGGCCCCTCAAAATGCAATAAAAATACAATCTACGTGTATTTACAGTGCCTTTCAAGTGAGGACATCTCAAAGTGTTTAATAACAACAACAACAAACTGCGTTTGTATCGTGTCTTTCATGTCGGGAGGGCGTCCCAAGATGAAAGAACTGTATAATGGAGTTCCAAAGGCTTGGGGGCACATTGCTTGGAAAAATCTACATTTATGACCCCTCATGAGACCACACAAAAGGCTGGAAACATTTTGCCGCTCTTGGATAGAAATATATGTTGAATCTCTGTAATTTCATGACGGCAGGCTTACAAATGTTTTGTCTGTTGAAGCTTCAGGATGTAATTGTCTTTCACGCTTTCCTTGTATCAGTCTTGTGCAGCCACCCCATCAGCCATGTGACGAAAGGAATGTGACCGTAATGGCTAGTGAAAAGCCAGTCGCATGATTTGAATGAGAACATAATGCTGGCAATTCTTTTTTTAAAAAAAAAATAGCGAGTCTGTTTGAGGCTGTAACACAATCTCCTGGATTGACACTTGAAACTGTCCTTGTGTCATACGTTTGAAAGCTCGGGTTGAAGTGAATTGCAAGGTAATAATAATCCTTGCATTTGATACGGCGCCTATAATGACAAGACGTCGCAAAGCGCTTCTTGAGGAATTGCCATCGGGTGTATTGGGTGTGTACTCTTCAGGTTAATGCAGTTTGCACATAGCTGCAAGTAGTCAGGACTCTGGGAGAGACCCTTTTTTACAACTGGTGTTGTGAGAGCTTTAACATCCATCTCAACAGCCAGGTGGCAGTTCGGTTTAACATCACATCCAAAGGATGGCACCTCTGAAAATGCAGCACTCTCCCAGTTCTGCAGTGGAGAGAAACTCAAGACCCCAAGATCAAGTCCTGGGATCAAGTAAATGTAATAAACCAGCAGTTTCAGACCTTGTCCTACAAAGCTTTAGCAGTTGCCACCGTCCTCTCACCCCTTACACGTTGTGCTTCCAGAGACTCGAAACCCGACAGCAAACTGGAAACCACACCACAATCCAAACCTCTTACAATTTGATCCCAGTTCCCAAATTTGCAGCAAATGACATTCTGCAGAACGTCATTAGAAATGTGTTGGACATTCCTCTTCGACCGCGCTTACGCTCACCTCCCCCGGGCAGGCTCCGTCACTGTCGAGCATTCCAGATATTGTCATGTGAAGGGCGCTGTATGAACGCACGTCGTCGTTGTTGTATTGTGGGGATTTTTCAGCTTCACTATTGTTATTTGAACAGGAACTTTGGAAACCACATTTCTCGGTATGTTGTGTGACCACAAGGACACAATTCGTCTGATGCGAGAGCAACAGGAAGTCAGGCTCCGACCTGTTTTCGCCAAATTTAGAGCCATGAGATGGACGTTTTTCAATTACCTGTAGAAGCAGGCTTGCCTCAGGATCCAAACCCGTCAAAGCAGCACGAGTCCTTTCAAACAGTCTTTTGTATAGTGTACAGTTGGAGCAGGTGTGTTTGGAAGAGACATTGTTCTCTTCTGGTGGACGTGTTTCTGGGCTGTGGATATTCCAATCACGTGATGTGGAGTGCCATTTCCCCACATGATTTTAATTCAACTTAATGTCAGTGAATGTTTATTTCAGTAAATCCTGTGTGTATCAATCCAGCCAGTCTGGATATCCAATCAGTGAACATTGAGCTTTATACTTTAATATACCCTCTAGCTATTTATCTGTTGTGTTCTCCCCCAGTTTTCTCTATACGATGGCGACCTAACTGTTTAAGGTACATTTTTCTTGCTGTAGACAAGTACATTTAATTTCACTCTCCGTCCTTTCTCCCACTGCCCCCTCTCCCCATGCCCCACCCAAGTCTACTTCCATTTTCAGGCACATCTGACTGTTCAGCGCTTTGGGACATCCTCCCAACGTGAAAGGCACTGTACAAATGTAATTTTACTGTTGTTGCTTTTGTGAGCTCTCAGATATTCCTCAGATTGTCCCTTTTGTTACTTTTATTACAGCAACCGATGACATTGTGAAGGTTGAAGTGTGGGATGTAGTGGATAAAGGTAAGTGCTGTCTTGTTACTTTGATCAGAAATCAGTTGTTCCCAAATTCTGTTTAGCGCTGAAGCTTAATGGCTGACGGGGCTGTGTGGGCGACATTCTTACGCATTCAAATGGGTTCTCAAATCCAATGACTTGAGCTGTGTGTAATTTTGCTGGTCGTAAAGACAGGTGGTGGGATAAAGCAGAATGTCACACCGCGGGCTAATGATGGGGAAGAGTGAAGAGAGCTCCATTGACTGGTACGAAAAGGGACCCCACTGTTCGTGCTTTGGGGGGAGGTGGGGGGGAAGACTGCACCTCTGGGTGCATGTGCTAAAAGTGCTGTTATTTTGCACCCCCTCCTCGAGCTTAATGCTTACCTTTCAGGAATAACCGTTTGCTAGCATGTCATTAATCCAATGATGCTTTTTGTCTAGGTAAAAGCCGAAAGAAAGGAGATGGGTTAAAACTGGAGAATGACCCCCAAGAGGTGCGGTAGGATTTTAAGTAACATTTGCCCTTTAATAGCAAGTCTCACAAGTACTTATTTCATAGTAATTATCAAGTTAGGTCTCATTTTTTTTGTAGGCAAGACCTGTTGAATCGTATTCTTCTATGTTTAGTATTATGGCTAGCAATGTTGACACACGTATGACATGGAAGCATGATTTTGTTCCATTGAAACTCCAAAACCGTTTGCCTCTCTGTTTCAGTCTGATGCTGAGCTGGCGCTAGATGCCGAGTTTCTCGATGTCTACAAGAACTGCAATGGCGTTATAATGATGTTTGATATTACCAAGCAGTGGTAAGACAATGCCTTCTCTCTGTTTACTCCATGTCTGGTAGCTCCTGTGTTTGTCCCATGACAAAGTCTGATGATGTGTAACAGTTGAGAACGCTGGAGCTTGAGGCAGCGTCATGGTATCAGGCTTGTCTCTGCCAAACGCCCTAACCTAAATTGAGATTAATCGGTTTATGTCCATTATGTACTCAATATTGGACTTCAAAACTTGGCAGGCAGTCATGATTTCTTATCACACAGAATGGAGTGACAATGGTGATTGGCCAGCCTCCCAAATCGCTAATGAACTTTGACTCGATGTTCATTTGGAACAGTACTTGTTCCAGTCGTGCTGGGATAACCCTGATGCCAACGCCTAGGATGGTCAAGCTGGACTAAATGCAGGAAGCTTACCAATATATTACATTGTTAACTGTACAGTTTTAGCTGGTTCGAATGCAGCGGTCCCCTGCACAACGTTGTGTGCATCCTGTTGAGTTTGGGGCACTGAGTCTCCAGGATTCCTAGTAAATGTATAAGAGAGAGTCGATGCCCTAACACCATCACTTGAGACTTTTTTTTATTACATCATTTCAGTGGGCATCCTGAATAAGATTTACAACCAATGGGAAATTGGAGACATTTGTTTTTTCTTATATCATCTGGCTGTTTCCAATCTGAATTTCCGATGTGTAATACTCCTCTTTATGGTTTGCATTTGTGAAGAATGACATTGATTTTTAGATGAAGATTCAAACAAACAGCTTCTCAGTGACTTTCCCTTGGTTTTCTGTAGGACCTTCAGCTATATTATGAAAGAACTTCCCAAAGTGCCTAACCACATTCCCGTCTGTGTGCTTGGGAATCACCGTGACATGGGAGAGCATCGCGTCATCCTGCCCGATGATGTCCGGGAGTTTATAGAAAGTTTAAATAGGTAAATATGTTTAATGGTTTGTAAAATATCAATTGCATGATATCCCATGCTTTTCTGTTTGACAAAAAGTTTAGTAAGAAATTCAAATGCTCAAAAGATTGAAAGCGTTTACTTCTCTCAGGCAAGGTTTCTTTTCCCATTTTTTTAAACCGGTTTTGTTCTCTACCTCGGGTGGAGGGTTATCACATTTATCACATTTATTTGTCACATTTAGTTAAATCATCATCTGAGCAATTTTGGTTAAGCATTTCTGAATTTGTAAATAACCTGACATGTAGAACGCTACTGAATCCTGTGTCCCTTGATCTCTCCGCACCACTATCAGCAGTCATGCCATCTGCTGCTATACCCCTGACACCCTTCCTCAATTCCTCTGTTTTGACCGTTTCTTGGACATAATATTTTTTTTCTTTTCAGTACGCCCAGATTATCCTACATCCGATATGCAGAGTCTTCAATGAGAAATGGCTTTGGTTTGAAGTATTTGCACAAGTTTTTCAATATTCCTTTTCTTCAGTTGCAGGTGAGTGCTCTGGTCGTGAGTTAGAAACACCGAATGCGATTGCTCTATTGGATAGAATTGTACAAATTGCAGCACAAAAGGAGGTCACTTGCCTCCTCACACAAAATGACCGTGTTGTTAGCAAATAGAATTTTATCGAACAAAGTCTTCAGTCTTCCTTTATAAGTTTTCAGTAATAATTCTGACCTTATGCTCCCTAGCTGCTGATTCAGCAACTAGTGAAAATATTCTGTCACTGGTCACCATTTCATCAGTTTGAACACAAGGAGTCCAGATAAGATGCTTCGGATGAGATGTTAAACTGAGGTCCCGCTTGCTTGTTCGGATGTAAAAAGATCTTTTGTCCACCCACAAAACAGTCACTCTACTTTACAGTAAATCCTGTTAAGGGCTTGCTGACAACAACAATGTGATATCAAATGCAAGGTTAATTATGACACAGTATATTGAACTGCTTGTTACTAGGTAATGATTTACCCATTCCAGCAGTCTACGTCTACAATCTGCTTCTTAGAGTTGATTCAGGGATGCTGAGCTTTGCTCTCTATGGCCAGAGCATGCTTACAGTTCTGTTGGTGCCTTGTTTACTGAAGAGTTCACTCGGTTGGTTCTTTCCTACAGCGGGAAACATTATTGCGGCAACTGGAAACCAACCAACTGGATGTGGACGCTACGTTGGAGGAGCTTTCTATGCAGCACGAAACTGAGGACCAGAACTATGAGCTGTAAGTGCTTAATGTGTTTAATGTTACCAGTGAACGTCAGTGCAATATGCTGTTTAAAGTTAAAATTGTGCTATGTTTGCATGTTGTATAATAATAATAATATTCCCTCCATCATGTAGTGACTGTGTATTTGTAGATGAACGCAGGAGCCAATTTGGATACAGCAATGTCCCACAAACAGCCATGAATCAATGACCAATTTATCTGGGGTGGAGGGAATTGTTGGCCAGCCACCTAAGGAAACTCCCTTTGTGTTTAGTATCAAGGGATCTGTAGGATGGGTGAGGGAATTGGACAACTACAATAACAAATTACATTTGTAGAGTGCCTTTCACGTCAGGAAGACATGCTGGACAGTCAGGGATCTGCACCCGAGCTGGTGGTTGGGATTAGGAGGGGTGGAGGGCGGGGCGGGTAAGGGTAGGAAGGTGACCCAAGGGCACGGTCGAAGTGGAGGGTCTTGAGACGGGTCTTGAAGGAGGCAAAGGAGTATACAAGGAGTGTATGTTAAAGGGAGTATTTCCACAATGTACTATTGTACCAAGTGATTGCAGTTATAGTGTTCCATTTCCTCTGCTCATTCCCCATATCCCTTTACAACTTTGTGCTTTACTTGTATCTCATTTCCTTTCAAACACGATGGCGGATCTGGGACATAGATGTTGTTACACGTGGGCTGTGAGTGCTGTTGCATTTTTACTCTCAGTGGAGCCATCAGAGCATGTGGATGTTATTTTACTCTGCATTTCAAGACGTATAATCTGTTGGCCATTTGTTTATCCGTTAAACATAGTTCTCAAAATCTGCGTCCTCAAATATCAAATAGGATCAAGATGAGTTGCACAGGAATGTGAGAATATTGGTAACCGTATTGAAGATCATGTTTTATGTACTGAGTACATTGATTATTAAAAGGAGTTTTGGGTGGCACTGATGATTCCAGGCTGCTGATCACCTTACCATTGAACTTGAGTGTGTGTGAGCTATAACTTATTTATTTCAAGCCATTGTGATGCTTGAAAAAGGCCCTCTGGCGAAGATCACCTTTCCAAACCATAGGTATCTTTCAGCTCAGCCAGACGTGTTTCCTTCCAGTGCTGTGTGTAGTACAGAGACATTGAGACTCCAGCGCACAGAGATGTGAGTGTGCTGAAGGGAGAAGCTGTGTTGCTTTTTCCACCAGAAACTTTTTTTTAGATTTTAGCAAAGCTCTTGATGCACGAGATTGATCCAACAAAGGCTCGGAATAGGGAGGGAATTTCCAAAGTGCACCGGAAATTGGGTGAATCCTAAGAAGCAACCTGTAGTTGTACACGGAGCTGCATTGGCAGAGAAGGAGGTAATTGGTGAGATGCCTTATAGTTCAGGATAGGGCAGGTAGATGCTATTTACACTGTATATAAATTATTTGCAAGTGGACAGAAGTCAAGATGTCGGTGTGCCGGTATTGCTCTGATGTGGGGTGTTTCAAATAAACTGCAAAAGGCTGGTCAAATACAGAGGGATGTGGTTGATTCGGGAGTTGGTTTGACAAGTGGCAGTACTGTTTAACCGGCATAAATTCAGATTAATAAGATTGGGGATAAATTAGTGGGAATATAAAGTAAAGTACTGCGTTGAAAGAATGAGTGTTGGATGCTGAAATCATTGTCTAAATAGTGTGAAGCAGCAGTAAAGAGAAAGAACAAGATTTGGGGTTCAGAGGTAAAGGGATGGAACATGAAGTGATGATGATGTTGTCTGGCCTCGCTGTGAAACACCGGGATTAGCACATTTCAGTAAGGACACATTGACATTGGTGACTTTGGATTCAATATCCTTATCCTCACTTTCAAAGCCCTCCACAGCCTCAGTCCCCACTGCTCCGGCCACCTTACTGACCTCCAAAGGTCGGGCTCTGAGATGTCCTCCCAACGTGAGAGGCGCTCTATAAATGTCAATTAAATGTTTTGTACAATATAATATGTTTGTTAAAACTTTAACTACATTGGTGCTTTCCCACTGCTTCTCTTGCATGTTTTCATCAATTCAGTTTTGATGATGTTATAGTTTGCTGATATTTGATTGAGACAGAGGTGCAAAGGTGCATTCATTGAATCAATAAATTGTTGTAAAGTCTGACCCCCTACAGGTGTACATTTCCCCCATATCAACCACAGTTAGTGTAACATACATTAAATTCCCCTTCTCTCTGTTGCAGGTTTCTTGAGGTGATGGATACCAAGAGTCGGAGTTGTGCGTCTCCATTAGCAACCAATGGCCAAAGCCCATCACCCGGCTCGCAGTCTCCTGTCGTCCCCCCAAACTCAGCCTCCACAACCAACTCCAGCCCAGGAACTCCTCAAACTCCACTACAGGCTCTTCCTGCGCCGTCGCCATCTCCTCCACCTCCATCAGCGTCCCCCAGCCCCGTGCCGGCCCTCGATCCCCAGCCCACATCCCCGGGCATGCCTTCACCGACCATCCCCAGCCCCGCGGCTGCTCCTCAGAAACGCAGCCTCATGTCCCGGCTCTTTGGCTCATCGTCAACACCCGAGACGCCCACAGCCAAACCGGGTAAGGCACTTGCTAGTTTACAGCATCCAGCCGTTATTCTCTGCTATTCAATGGCATCTGTACAGCCTGTTGCGTACCACAGAGCGCTTCCCACTCACGATCTGGGGTCCGTTTTCCCCCTCTTCCCCCCATTCGCTGTTTCGGGGAGCTTTCTATTACTCAATGCAATTTATGGTGGGGGGGGGGAGAGTGCCAAGTAATTGCATGATGTGCATTTCAGCCTGCATGTGCACAGCATAGTGCAATTCCAGTTGACCTCCTTGACCTGAGCTCTAATGTTTTGTTGGGGTCCAGGTTATGCCCTGTTTTGTTTGGCTCTGCACCCAGTGAGCCAGCAACAGAGCTTTACTGCTCTATTCTTCCATTTAATAATAATAATAATGCTTACATTTGATATAGCGCCTTATCGTGTCTTTAGACGTCTCAAAGCACTTCACAGAATATACTGTGAAATGTAATGATTGTGTATTTATGTGGTGCTCCATCACCTCACAAAATTACTCCCTCTCTTCCCTCCCCTCACCCTGACCATTTCCCCCCTGCTCGGGTCCTGACCCAACTGTACAGCGCCTTGGGACGTCCTCCCGACGTGAAAGGCGCTCAATAAATGGAATCTTGTTGTTGTTGTAAGACGTAGTATAAACTGCCGCTTGCTAAGTTCATGTTGTCCAAATGGATGGCTCATGGTTTCCTTGTCACGGGTGGCTTGTAAGGCTGCTCTTCCTCAATCAGTGTAGGAATGAGCCAGGTTGTTAATGAGGACAAGTTGCTCTTACTGTCTTGAGACATTTTCGGTCTTTGTAATGATGGAGCACTGAGGTGGAATCCTGCAGCTTTCCCCACAAGGAGGATTTCCCTGAAGAAGTGCGACACCGCTCAGTGTTAGTGAGAACATGTGTGGCCGCGACAACAGGTCACAGCCTCTAAGAGAAACCGCAGGGGTTTGGGCGAAGGGGCAGGTAAATTTCATCCACAAAATGCTCAGTTATTCCACTTTACAATATATTCTATGATGCTTTGAGACAATGTGAAAAGCCGCTGTATCAAATGCAACAATTATTATTAGAAATGGGACAGAAAGGATTGCTCTTTAAAAATGCCAGCACGGACCCGATGGGCCAAATGACCTCCTTCTGTGTCTTGCATTTCTATGTTTCTGAGATAAAACATGATATTATTCTTCACAAAAGCATAAAGGCATGATTACCTCTGCTGGACACTACATGGTATTCATTTGCAGCTGAATATGAGCTGAGAAGAGTAGCTAAAAGCATAATTTAGAAGATAGGAACAGAGGAAGGCCATTATCCTTTCGAGCCTGCTTCACCATTTTGTTAGGTCACACAAAACCTTTTAAAACCATTTCCCCGTCTTTTCTCCATATCCCTTAATCTTTTGCACTTCCCAGTTATTTAGCTTTTAAACGTCCCCAATCGATTCTGCGTTTCTTCATCTACGGATGCATCTGAAGTAATGACTGCGTTAATCTTGGCAGGTTTCCCAGTAATTCAGTGAGTGGAATACTGACCAACGTTGGCAAAACATCCTGCCGTAATGTAATGATCCTGCTCCGTGAGGCAGACAATGATTTGTGAATTGCCATTCATTCTTTTTTTGAATGACTTTATAGCCTACTTTACAGTGCCTCAGAGTTGAGCTGACCAGGTTTTGTCCTTGATGGTCGATCCTTCTGGTAGCACTTAACACATATCCTCATCTGCAGGATCTTGTGGAAAAACTAAAATAATAATAATAATTCTTGCATTTGATATAGTGCCGTATCACGTTGTCTCAAAGTGCTTCAAAGAACATACTGTAAAGTGAATCGACTGTATAGAACCTAGGAATACATACGAATAGCCTGGCTCAGTTGGTAACACTCAAATCAGACTGTATCCACATAGTGATTTAATATAATAATCCTTGTATTTGATATAGCGCCTTATCGTATCATCACAGGATATACTGAAGTGGTGTAACTGTGTATTTTTGAATGAGGCTTTCAGCCATTCCTCTTCTGATGCGTTCTGATACAAGAGAGAAAAGATATCCTGGGTTCATCCCAGATACAGATTTATCTTCCGAGGAATCCACTTAAAGGTTTGTCTCTGACTGCTTTGACAGCATTTCTGTGCTGCTAGGCTGATCAGAGGCAGGCTTGAAGCTTGCCTGAAGGGGTTTTCTTCGGAAGAATGGCAACACTAAAGTCTGATATCTCTTTGGTAATTGGAGAATTGAAAAGTAACCAATATCAGTTATTTTGATGAAGCTGTTGTGGTCCAAGAGGAATGAGCTATGAGCAATGGTTAGATAACCTCGGGCTCCTCAGCCTTAAAAAGAGGCATTTCAGAGTGGACCTCAATAGTCTGTAAGATTTATAAATGGGTTTGAGAAAGTAAATCCAGATTATTACGTCAATACAGCAACAAAGAAACAACAACCTGCATTTTTATAGCATCCTTCATGCAGGATAGCGTCTCAGAGCGCTTAATGGTGAATGTCACGTGAACTAATGGGAAGATTGTTCATTCGAGATTAATGGTTCCCTCAAAGATTAATGGGCTACAGGGTCGAAAACGAGATACAAAATTGCATCAAAAACATGACGAGAGGGCAGCCAGGAATGCACGGTCTTAAGGATGGAAAAGGATTACAAAGACTCCTCTTGTTTATTCCATCATCTATGATCCAGAACTCTGTTCTCCTTAGAAGTCTGTCCTTGAAGAAGCTGGAAGCCTGCAGGAAGACCCATCAATCATTATTTTAGTAATCTTCTACTGGATTTTACATGCACGCAAACACACACACACACACACACATGCGCACAACTGAAGCTTTCAGAAAGACGTGTATTGCAACTGAGATAGATAGCATCAGGCATTATTATATATCGGAGAACCGAATGTAATGAAGACAGCTCCAAAAATTACAGGGTGACCAAAAAAAAGTCGTGACACCATTTACTTTAATAATAATTACTTTATTTCTTCAAAGGCAAAAGACTTATTATACATTGTAATGTATCACAGCCTTTTGGTCGCCCTGTACAGCACACAGGATCGGATGAAGCTCTAGAGACATGTTCTAGTCCTGAGGGGGTTCTGTGCCCATTATTCCATTTCAGTAATTAGCTTTTGCAAAACTCGGCTCATTCAGCGAAAACAGGCGTTCCTTCGGGGCATGTTCCTTTCTTTCAGTTAAGGCTCGTGGTGTTTTACCTTCTTAATGGGAGGTGCGAGTGAGCACTTCACAATGAACACAGCATCCATACAGGTTTTACTTTTCAGCTGGTAAAGTGCCACTTCAAATCAGTGTTATACTGGAATGCATCTCTTACACGCAATGTTTTTCAATGCCATTGTTAATCAATCCTGTCAGGTAAACCTGATGATATGCCACGAATACAAAGACAAAGTATTTGTCCTTATTGGAAAGCATATGGCACTGATTTCACTGGTGTAATGGAAATATCACAAATCATTGTTACTGAACATCACAAATCGAAAATAAATAGTTCAAGTGACAGGCTTAAACCCTGGCTGAAAATTAGGATGAGCTTCAAGAAGTGTCATTTTCTTTTAAACATGATCTAAACTTCTCTTAAAGAAACTACCAGTATACATACGTATCACTTTTCAAGCGAGAGGACCCAGGTTCCATACCCTAGTGGGGCGAAACCTTAGGCAAGTTTCCTTTCAGGGTGGCGAGCCACCTGTGGTGGAACTGAGGGTACGGAGGGCAAGTAGCAAGCCGGAGCCAATTGAGCAGAGGTAGTGGATTGGGGAGTAAGCAGGTCGGAGAGGTAGGGAGGTTAGGCTAAAATGCCACCACAGATGTACTATCCCAAATGGCTGCCTTCTATAAATTTCTACTGAGTGTTTGAGAATTAGCTCCCAAACTTGTGTGCAATTCCTTTCTAATACTCTTTGCCTCTCGGAGATTGAGTAACCAAGATCTTGCTTAAATAGATAAAGCAGTGACCGTGACCTCGGAGGGTCAGGAGAAGGTGCAGAGTGTTGATGACTTTGTTCCCGAAGAAGGGTTGGACAAGAGCTTTCTGGAGGACGCACAGTCTCAGAGGGGAAAAGAGAATCCAGAGATTCGAGAGGGACAGGAGAGCGACAGGTAAAGGATTTCGGATTCTAAATATTGAATTAAAGAGGGCCACCATTTAATAGCCGAGAGTGGGAATATAAACACTGCAGGCTTCCAATCCAACTCCACTACAGTGGCTGGTCTCTCAAATGAGAAGTCTGAGTTGAGGTGAAACACAGATACAGGAGGAAGCCATTCAGCCCCTCGAGCCTGTTCCGCTATTCTATAAGATCATGGCTGATCTGTTTCTCAAGTCCAATTACCCACCCTTATCCCTTAATACCCTGATCTAACAAATATAGGTCAGGGTGGGAGGTAGAAACCTAAACACGCATTTAATGGATGACCGCTGGAAAGCTATTTGCTTCTCTGGATCATACTTCCCCTTAATAGGCATTACACTCCATACTCTCTCCGGTCTCCAATGAGCTCCTTAATACACCTGCAAGAACGTAACCAGTTCTTAAGATTTGTAGGTTTCAAGAGGGAAGTAGACCGTTGTATGAAAATTAGAGGCTTGAAAGGTCAGGAGGATAGGGAAAGGCAGTGGGATTGAATGAACAGTTTGCTCTGACAGCCAGTGCAGACTCGATGGGTCAAATGGCTTTCTGTGCTGTAAAGTTTTATGATTCTATCCTTGTAAGCACTCAAACCAGTCCAGGCGCCTTGACTTCCTTTAATGCTTTTAGCCCGGCACACTGTCCCTTTCCAGGAGGACGAGAGTTGGTAGCCATTTCTTTGTGTTTTGGGCACTATCTCTGAGGAGTTGTAACAGTAATCTACCCAAATCTGCTTCTCCTCCAACTGCAACTCTCAGTCCGCTGATGTCCTGTCAGCTTGTTTGACGGACATCAAGACCTGGATGAGCGCAAATATCCTGCAGCTGAATGTTGGCAAGACGGAAGCCATACTCATTGGCTCCCGTCAACGACTTCTCTCCTGCGAGTCTGAACTCCAACCACCCGGGCTCTCCCTCATACTCACCGAACCTGTCCGCAACTTAGACGCTTCCGCGGGTGAAGGGTGCTATATACATGGAAGTTGTTGTTGTTGTAACAATCTGTAAACTTGCCTATTGGTCACTCCCGTGCAGTGATGGAGAGAGACGAGGCAATCCCATGGTTGACCGTTTCCAGGACGACTTGGATTTTGACGACCAGATTCCCGAGAAGCCGAAAGTGAAGTCACAAGTTCCTAGTAAAGATGTAACCTTCTCCAGCGACGAAGAGGACGGTGCGAAGGTTGCCATGATGACGAGCGAAGATATGGATTCGGAAGAAGAAATGAAAAGGTCAGCATTTATAACAAGGTGTCCTTTCACACTTCAATTTACAGTACATTAAGTGAAAATTGTTGTTGATGTTATCAGTGACCAGAAGACATCAATTTAAGGTAGTTAGCGAAGGAGGAGATTGTGAGGAATTTTTTACATAGTTGTTAGGCATATGGAATGCACTGTCTAGTGGTGTTGGTCGAGGCAGAAACCATTGAAGCTTTCACGGGGAAAAAACAGGCTAATGGGACTGAATGGATTGCTCTTTCAAAGCAACTCATACACAACGGAACAAACACCCTTTATTTAATCCTCTTATTTTCTGTGGTTCTGGGTTGACAGGAAAATAAAGAGCATGAAGGATATACACAGTAGTGTTTTCAGACACAACTGCACCTTCGGATAGCAAGTACCTGTGCTGCCTTGGGATCTGGGAGAGTGGCATAAAGGAGACTGGTCCTAACCTGTATGCGTTGCTGAGTGGAAATAATGGCAGGATTACTACGTGGTCATTTTCTAAGATTTCACCCCCAAAAATGTACACTCAATTCACTTCACCTTGTATTCTGTGAGATGCTTTGAGACGTCTCAAAGATGTGAAAAAGCGCTATATCAAATGCAAGGATTATTATTAATATAAGATTCCAGAGTCCAAAAATCCTAAAAACTTTCCTCAATTAAATGTTTTGTTTTGCTAGTTTCAAAATGGTCTCTTTGTTGCCAGGGCTTCCAAAGGTTCATCAAAATCCAAGAATGTCATGGCTTCCACCAAACTCAGTGAACAGAAACCTGGGGTCATGTTACCAAGCCCGATCCAGCCAGAGCCACTCAGCAGCTTAAAGACTGCCTCCCATTTGGCTGCTGACTCCTCCCTGATGCCCACCTCCTGTGTGACCACATCGGCTGCAGTTCCAACGCTCGCTTCAGCTTCCAAAGCGGGCAGCAAAGGTCCGAGCAAGTCCAAAGCGCAGGAGAACAAGGAATCTTCAGAGAGTGACCTCGAGGGCCCGATCGCCACTCAGCTGCTCTCCTTTGTGATGGACGATCCTGATTTTGAAAGTGAAGATTTGGACAAAAAAATAAAGACGGTAAGCTTCACTTCTGGCTCGTTCAGGTTGATTAGATGGTTGTGGATTGGATTAGATGACGGCCAAATGGCTAAATTTCTATGGTTGTAAATGGGCTGAAGGGTTTTCTTCATTCTTATGATCTTGGGTAAATGTAATAGTGTTCAAATATTGGCACCCACCAGAAAACCGACAGCAGTGATTCTTTCCAGTGCTGTATTGTTCACCTACAAAAAACATAGCCACTACACTTTGCAGTGAATCCTGTGAAGTGCTTTGAGACGTCCTCAACAGCACCTATGGTCACCTCCCCCTTCTCCTTTGCCCCGTGTTGAACCCTGCATAGCACTCTGAGACACTAACCTGCATTGAAGGGCACTAAACAATTGCAAATCGGTCTCCAAATGTGAAAGGTGCCATAATCAAGTGCAAGGATCATTTTATAATCCTCAATTCAAAGACTCAGTTTATTTTAGTCTCTTGTGCTCTTTCAATCGGGATTAGAATGAATACTGTTGGTTAAATATCTATCGGGTGCTCCCCTCTGCTCTATAAATGTTCTGTGTTTTGCTTTTCATCGCAGGAAGAGTTTCCCGTACGAGAGGACCCGTCCGAGGTCTCGGAAGATGACCTGACTCCTGTGAAGCTAACAGTTCCGCTGAATCCTCTCAAACATTCGCTAAAGCCGGCCAACGACTTGGATCTGTTTGGGTTGGGCGCCGAGGAAAAGACAGTAGCAGCACTCGAGAACAGCAGTGAAGGTGCCTTGAGGGTTGTGCTGAATAATGTGGAATTCTTAGTAATGAACTAAATGTATTTTGTCTCATGGCAAAACCAAAATCAGGCTAAGGGCCAAAACTAACATTGACTTTATGTTTCATTAAGTGTAATACGGAGTTCATGTTTACACTTCGTAGTCAAAGGAGGAGACACACCCACACACACACACACACTCACCCCACGCACCTACCCACCCAACCAATGTGAATTACTTTGTTCGCTAATCTTTTATTATACAGCTGTGATATTCACTGTGGTGCAGGGTTTGAATCTATTGGCGTCTTGTTTGACCCTCTGCTATCCGTTCTACCCCACATCCGTGCCATGATCCGCTCTGCCTTCCTCCACCTCCGCAACATCGCCCCACTACACCTCCTCGCCCACCCCACCATTGCGGGTTGACCTTCTACCACTCTACCCCACCCTCTGGAACTCCATCCCACAGTTCCTCCGCCTCGCCCCTTCCCTTGCCTCCTTCAAGACCCATCTCAAGACCCTCCTCTTCAACCATACTTTCGATCATCCTCCTTCCCCCCCCACTGCTTCCACTCTCCCTAATCCTGACCCCCAGCTCGCGTCCGAAACACTGACTGTCCAGCGACTTGGGACGTCCTTCCGACGTGAAAAGCGCTAATCAAATATAATTGTGTTGTTGTATTGAGTCACTAACAGGAATCCCAAAGTAGAGTAATGTATTTAAAGAGCCAAGTTATTAAGGAGCCAAATCACTCAAACAGCTCTTTAAATAATTTTATTAAAAATAAAACAAAAAGATTTCTGCTACAAGTTACTATATTGCAAGGAGCCAAGTGGATTTGCTCTTAGCAGTATCAAGGCAGAATTACACTTTCCAAATCGCTTGACAGTCTCCTGCAGTCCTAACACTGTAGTAGAGAGATTATTGACAAATCGTTTAATCCTGACTATTCTCCGCAAAATTACGTTTGAAAGCCTTTAGAACACCAGGGTGAATTTGAACCCTGATATTTCAGTCATCGGTAGCTGGTGAAAACAACTCATTATTTTCCCTCAACACCAACACTGAGCCTCGGATTTCTCCAGTGCTTCTTTCTGGATACAACATCATTCCCATCTCCTGCTCGAGGCCAGAGAGGATAAGAGTATATTTCTACCTTTTTTTTTTAAACCACTTTTACCACATGACAGACTTATCCTTTTCTTCTCCTTTGCAGATAAAACCAGCAAACTCTCCTCAAAAGACAAGAAAAAGAAGAAAAAAGTAAAAGATGTGAAGGAGGTAACGATTTAATTTAAAACTAGTGACGGGATGTAAGAAAGTTAGTCATTCGGTGCGCTCTAGTACACACTCGTTCCAGTTTGAATAACACTAAATGTTTCTTTCCCTTCTTTAGTTGACTGTAAAGCCATGGTGGAATATTCCAAAAATTGGTCAGCCCGTGTAAAGTCAAATGTCACTTACAAATGTTCCTTGACCAATTCCAGCCTGGTTAAGTTGGTAGCACTCTGGCCTCTGTGTCAAAATGTTGGGGTGTTGAAGCCCCACTTTGAGCTTACAGTTCAGGCTGACACTCCAGTGCAGTGTTGTGGGGGGAAGCACTGTACCTCTGGAGATCCGTCCTTTGGATGTGACATGTAAATTGCAGCCGCACTTTCCTCTTGGCCCAGGACATTTCTGTGCAAAAATTGGCTGCTGCGTTTCCTTACAAATGCAGAGTCACTGTTACGTAACAGCAATTACTGTAAGTGCTCGAGACGTTTCGATGTTATGGGCACTCTATAGGGATTATCATTTATTATTTCCATTTATGGCTTCTGGCCCCATTTTTGAGCTGGCTTTGAAGTAATAACCCGTGTTTACCTGCTCCGTGACATTTATTATTTGGTAGATTTACATGATTCCAGAGAGTTAAATCCCTTGTCTGTTTTTGTTGCTTTGTGTATTGCAGCTGGTGATAATTCTTAATGAAAGCTAATGATTAACCCTTTAAGGGTGTTACATTTTGAACCATCTTTCACACCTTCCCTTGCACTAAGATGTGTGCACCATTTATAGAAGACACTAGTCTCCGACAATGCTGTAAATCTTCCTGTACGACACTTGCCTTTATGATATTGAGCCTTTCAGGACTCTTTAGCATGTCAGCCTGGCTCAGTTGGTTGCTCTCTCAACTTTTAGCCAGAACATTGTGAGTTCAAGCCCCACATCGGGACTTGGAACTCATGGGTGGCTGATACTCCAGTGCTGTGGTACATTGTCGGAGGTGCCGTCCTTCGTATGAGACGTTAAACCGAGGTCCTCTCTGTCTGTTCAGGTAAACGCTAAAAATTCCTTGACACTAATCAAAAAGAGAAGAGTTTCTCCTGATGCCCTAACCAACAATGCCCCAATTAAAATTTGTCACTCACTTTCACGGCTGTTTGTGGGACACTTCTATGTGCAAATTGTCTGCTGTGTTTCACCCACATAATATTTTAATTCCACATTACAGGATAGCCTTTGAGGTGTCCTCTTGATGCGAAAAATCCTATATATAATTATGTATATATATTTTATACATCTCTGTCTAATGCAGGCATCATTCTTATTAATTTCAGGAGGAGGAAAAATTGGAAAAAAAGAAACACAGGCACAAGAAAGGCAAAGAGAAGGAGCCAGGTTTAGAGGAGGAGAAGAAGAGGAAGAAGAAACTGAAGAGTAAGGATAAGACTGACGGAGAAGTCGATGATTTGGAAATGTTTCTGGCTGGCAGTGGTGACGGACATAACCCAAGTGGTAGGGGCGCTGGAGACTATGAAGAGCTATAGACTTGTTTCTTTCATTATGTCTGCTGTATTATTTTGCTGTAGTTACTTACCTTGTTGTTTTTACAGTGTATTCCTCAAGGTTTCAAACGTCCCCAAAAGAATATCCCTTTCATTTGTGGTGGAACATTTGTGGTGTTCCTCGTGACATTTACATCCATTTTGTTTCTTTTTTTTTTGTCGTTAAATATTTTGATTGCTTTTCAAGAATGTTACATAGGACCCAGAGGTAACAGTGCGAGAGGGATTTGATGTTTGTTCCTTCTTCTGTTCTACATGAAGAATGGATTGGCTGGCTGGCCGGCAATGGACTTTTTATGAACTATTGATAGGCTTGACAGTTTCTGACTTGAAGTGGTAAAAAATTGTCATTGATTTCTCAAAAAACAGGAAAATTAATTCCCGTTGTTAAATACTGGGACTGGGTAACTTTTTTTTTTAGCCCTTTGAACTCTAAAAGTGACCAGCATCGTCAATTTCGCCGGTAAAACATGCAGTCGATTTACTTCACAGTGTATTCCGTGGAGCGCGTTGAGACATCTAGAAGACGTGGTAAGGTGCTATACCAAATGCAAGGTTTGCTTTGATGAGCATCACAAGCTGTGTGCTCATAGCAGCATCAGCGGCACCCAGGAAGTGGCATCGGTGATGACCTTGTGACTTGCGAGTCGGCCATTTGGTGGCTGAAAAGATTACAAAAAACATTGTGAGTAAAATCCCCCCCCTCCGTAAACGTCAGTATTTCACATGGGAAATTTTAAAATGATAAGAATCGAAAACCGCACAAGCCTAACTATTGATCAGTATAACTGAAAGCTGTAAGCAGCGCAAATCTGAGCTGGAGTCGATGACTTTGCTCGGATCTGCGAACAGATTCTTTCCGAGGAAATCAATCGGCAAGATTCGCTTCAAGTGGGAGCATTGCCGCTGTTCTAAATCCAATCAAGTTTCAGATTATTACGATCGAGTAGCCGAACCATTAGAAATGAACAGATTGACTGAGCTGCAGGCTTCTCTTGGGGCTAACATGCAGAATGTTGGCAGGGAGCCAGGTAGGTTGGCAGGTCCACTCTCCCTCCCACCCACCGCCCACACCGGTGAATTGAGTAAGATTTCCAGCTTTTACAGGGCGTGGTAAGGAGAGAGAGGGAGGATTTAAAGTCACAGGCACCTTGGAGAACCTAACCACCGTTTTCTCGGGGGGTGGGGGGTGGGAGACAGGGGCTTGAACTGGGGGATTCCTTTAAAATTTGCCATTGAAGCACCAAAATGGTTCAATCAGTTAATGTCTGTTCTTCCCCGTCCACTCCTCTCTGAGTGGACTTAATGTGGAACTGAGTCCACATCCTCCCATATTGTGATAGATAGGTTTACAACCCTCCGTCATAAACCACCTTTTGTGTATTGTTGACGGCCTTCTTCCGCCTCTTGTTCCCGGAGGTCCCGCTTTTCCCGGTGGTGCTCTCCTCCTCAGACACCGTGGCTTACCGCTTATTCTTAACAAGTCACCTGCTCCCCACCACGTGCGGCCCCTCTAGAAAACGCACGCTTCCCTATAAGGGCAGCTGCACAACAAATTATTCCACACACGTGACTGAGTCACTGGAGCTAATGAGCAGATCTGTTGCCGCTTCAATTAAATGAAACTTATCTTTTCGATCAGCCAGGTATCTTGACACCCGCGGTAACCCGTCACCTTGCTTTAAGAGTCTCCCGAGCCAAACTATTGAGTGTGGAAGCTGCTTCGCCTCTGGAATAGAGTGCGCATTCTCTTTCCAGAGGGACCTAAAAAATAAAAGAGAGGGGGTGGGGGGGGGGTAACTATTCTGAGTCCAGTGTGCTTCCCCTAGACTTTCCCTTTTAATAAGGCTGTACCAACCACTCCCTGTAGACGCAAGGTTGAAAGTGCAAGTCTCAAACTGGCCTTTTGACGGGTATTTAAAGCTGCTCACGTGAGGTGAAAATTCTGTACTGGGGAGGATGCACCCAGCAAGCAGATCCCAGCGTTTCCTGCCTGAGTTCTAAATCTATTAGAAATGGGTCAGACAGTTTGGAAGAGGGAGGGAGTGCGTGTTTGTGAGACTCGGGGGTTTCTAGCGATTGAGCCTGTTCTGCTGCTGCTCTCAAGGTGACTTCCCATTAAAGAGTGATGATGTGTCTGTGAAGGTACCAGCATGGAAGCAGCTCCTGATTGAACAGGAGATGTCTCATTTATAATGCATCCCGCCCGGGTGAGGAGACGCTGTTTGTTGAACAATGAGCTGTCTGACCCATTCAGTGTCTGATTTGAGAATAGGTCTGCGCTGATGTTTTAGATGCAAACTGTTTATCTCCAGTGTTCGCCTCTCACCTTGAGCATCATTCATTTTCGCCCACAAAATATAGTCAATTCACTTCACAGTATATTCTGTAATGCTCTTTGAGACATCTCAGATACGTGAAAAGGCGCTATATCAATGCAACGATTATTATTATTATTATTATTACATTGATCAGCCTTTGTGCTCATCTCTGCCTTCATCACAAGAGCCAGCCAGCAGCTACCTTTCACTTGTCTCGCATTCGCCCAAGGATTAATTTATTCGCTGGTGCTCTGCTCCGCACTGCAGCTACTCTGCAGAATGCACAGGACATGTGAGAGCAGCCGAGGGAAAGTGCGAATATCATGTAACCGTTCCAAATGGAGAACGGTTTGAAGTTGCAACAGGGCTCTGCAACCTTTTAACCCACAACCGATTTGGCTGCCTGTTTGGCAACGCAGCTTCCCCTCCGATCAGACTCGCAGTTATTACTGGAGAGTTAAATACGGGTTGGCCAGGCCGACGACTTTTGCAGCGGCCGTTAATTTACCCTCGTACCTCTGAAGTGCGAGAAGTCTTGAGGGGCGTGTGTTGAGAGATGGGATGGGGAGTGGGGAGGGCAGCCCCAATGGTGTAGTAGCCGGAGCTGTAGTTTACAGACTATGTAGAGTATAGTACGCTGGTTCGAATCCCAGTGTGCGCTGAGTTTGCTGGACTCAACGGAGAGCTGCACAGGGAGGTCATTTGGCTTCCCAAGGTTGGCCGTGGTTCCTGCGATACTGTAATCCACTTGTGTTTAATCTTGTTCACATTTATGAATCACAATCACCGATGTTGGGTGGGTGAAGGTTAGTGCAACTAAAGCACCACCTTTCTCTTTCACCAGCTTTCTTTTGATCTGCACCGTTCGGTTTGCAGGTCAGTGATCATTTTTAAAGCGTATCATGCATATTATATTTCGCCTATTCACCCACCCCCACGCGTGCACGCAGATAAACATACATACACGCACAAACACACACACGAGCAGCTGTTTAAAGGTTAATGAGATGGTGTGCAACATTGTTTAAAAATGAGACTGACTGCACCTCTATGAAAAAAAATCCCACTTTTTGCTGAAATTGTTTATTTTGGGGTTTCTGAGCTGATGCTCGCAGACTCTGCATTGCTCTCTCTCTCTCTCTCTCTCTCTCTCCATACGTGTAAACAGGTCCATGAGATGGGAGCTTGTTAGCTATGTTTGAGCTCCTTGCACAAATAGTAATAATAATTTGGTCACTTAATCCACGGCTGTCTGTGGGACACTGCTGTGCGCAATTGGTTGCCGCGTTTCGCCCACACAATATACTGTCAATTCACTTTACAGTATATTCTGTGAGGCCATTTGAGACTCTGTGAAGCTCTTTGAGACGTCTCGAAGATGCGATAAGGCGCTATATCAAATGAAAGGATTATTATTAAGGTGCAGCGAGCACCTGCTGTGATCCTGTCAGAAAGTGACTCAGCACAGAGGCAGAGCATGAACACTCCCAGCCAGCTGTTTTAGGACTGGCTCTTGAAACCTCTGGCTTGGGAAGCTTTTTTTAATCCGACTGTGCTGACAATTTAAAACCGCTACAATAGTGCAATACTTTACTAATCCTTTAAACGGAAACCTGGTTTTTATTTTGCCAGTGGGAATAGCCACCTCGTAAACGCTTGTACATATTCCGATTAGACTGTGCTTTGCTGATCGTTCCTCAGTACCCAGCTCGTCTGCCAGCTCCACCAGCATGTTGCGATGTGCATTTTCATTGACCATTTTTCTTGGTTGCTTTGGGAGTCCTGCAGAGTAGTAGTTAGCGCACTTGCCTCGCAAGCAAGAAGACCCGGGTTTGATTCCCGGACAGGGCGAAACCGTGGGCAGGTTTCGTCACTCCACGCGCCTCTGTTTACCAGTAAAAAGTAGGAACACGGTTGTCAGTCGATTGGCGGATTCCTTTCCCAGGGCTAATAATCGCTTCAAAAAAACAAATCGATAAATGATAATAATTTGGTCACTCAATCCACAACTGTTTGTGGGACACTGCTATGCGCAATTGACTGCCGTATTTCACCCACAAAATACATAGTCATGTCTCTACAGTGTATCTTGGGAAGCGATTTGAGACATATCAACGATATAAGGTGTTATATCAAATGCTAGGATTATTATTATTATGTTGGGTTTTGTTCTGGACTAGCGAGGGAATACTGGAGCTCGTCAAATACCATGAAGTCGTTCATTGTAAAATTTCAAAATTTGTGAACTATTCTGTTTTAATACTGTACACCTAAATCCATTTCTGTTCACAATAACTGGAACGTTAAGGAAGACTTTTTTTTCCCCTATCTTCCATACGCTACAGAGATTTGGTCACCTGCTATTATGGCACTTTTATTGGTAGGAACTGTTTGGAAGGTGCTATTTGAAATTGGCTTTCACAGTGCAGTTAATCCCATTGCTTAATGATGCTCCTGTAGCAGGAGATGCCCTGCTTCAGTTGGACTCCTGACTGTTTTGATCTGGGCTCCTAAGAGAAACTGGAATTCTAAAATTGTCCTTAACTGGTTTGAAGTGTCTGTCAGGTAATTCAATAAACCTTTATTTTTTTTTAAAAAACTTACATTATCTTGCATTTGCTGGATGTGAATTTCTGACTGTTGGAATTATTTTTTGTGACTTTTTTTAATTGGACTCGCACTACTATCCAGTATATCTGCTGCATGTTCTTAGTATTTTTTGTTGGGAGTGGGGGCTACGTTTAGCCCACCAAAAATACAGTGATAAATGACGTGATCAGGCGCTATATCAAATGCAAAGATTATTTTTATTATTACCACTAACTGAAATAAAATTGGGGCTGCTAATTTAGTTTGTTTGTTTGCTTGGCTGCATAGAATTAACATTGCTTTACAGTTAAAACTGGAGCAACTGGACTTAAATGCAATATGGTTCCCGAACAGTATCGTTCGATCAAAACTTTCGATGAATGGTTCACATTAGTTTTAAGACGCAACATCTTTTTCAGGTGAGGACAGTTGCTGATAGATAGATAGATAGAGAGAGAGAGAGAGAGCTAGAGCTTTGTCTCCTCTGGCTTCAAAGAGCCACAGTAGCATTTATATTCCCTGTTGATTCACATAATGCTTCAATCTATCCAAACACAATCAGTCATGAGAAGTCTGAAGAATCTGAAAGTATCTGGTCCAGTCCTTTCCATGTGCACTCTGTGTAAACCTGTGTTCAATTATGTATGTCTATTAAAGGCAAAAAGTATTTTCTTCTTAATGGCTTGTCTAATTTTTTTGAGGGTTTTTTTTTTGGTCAACACTGTGCGTGATACACGTGGAAACCCATCACCCTGCTTCGGAGTATTGAAACCAAACAGAGTTCCACGTGTCCC